GGTGTTGGGGTGGGTTGGTTTCAGTGTTTCTTTCAGACTTTTTCCTCTCCGGAGAGGGGTGGGGCAACTTGAAATTTTCGGGGGCGGGGGGTAGAATTTTCTGGGAGGGGGCGGGACACTGGAAAAAGTATATAATTATATTTCGTTGAATGGGATCGGTAGACATGTTTTTTTTTTGGGGGGGGGGGGGGGGCGGTGTGTGGAGGGGGTGGTGGTGTGGGGTGAGGGTGGTGTGTGGGGTGGGGGGCGGTGTGTGTGGAGGGGGTGGGTGTGTGGGGGGTGAGGGGGGGGGGGGTGTGTTGGTGGGTGGTGTGTGGGGGTGGGTGGGGGGTGGGGTGGTTGTGGTGGTTGGGTTGGTTTAGTTTAGAGAAAAGAGACAGCACTATCAGCCTAGCGCCCGTTTGTACCCTTCCTCAACGGGCCATTTTTCTCGTGCTAAGTATATTGATCAGTTTAATATCAGTTTCTAGCATTACTTTTTTAAAAGCAAAGGTGCATCATCACAATCACATCTCAAACCCCCCCCCCCCCAATCAGCACAAAAGTCTCAAGAGTGTGATGTCATTATGGACGACCCCTTGGCCTATTTTAATCTTTTTTTTTAGGTACTTATTAGTTGCTAGTCTTGTAAATGTTGTACAGACAACCTAAATAGCTACAGTATAACTTATTATGCATTTCATAAATTATTAACTCTTGTTTGATATCATGATATTGGTATAAATGATTATATCCAGCCTTCCTGATTTAGTAATTATGTATAAACAACAAAAAAAAATGGGACATATTATATACACCATCCTACATAAGTTGATTTTAAACATTTCTATAGATCATTGCTGTCAAAAACAATGCTTTCATTACACAATTTGTTACTACAAAAACTGTAATCAATGTAATGTGTTCATTCTCTGGTGTCTAAAACCTCTATCATTTCTCCACATTGATACTAACAACTGAATGCATTAGAACCAGAGGCATTCAGTGAATCAATGAACATAACAAATTCTTCCACAAATCTGGACTGGATTTTTGCCCTTTAATTTGCTACTTTTTCCAGAATAGATATCAACATCATTGCATTCTTAGAAACCGTTTAAAAACCTACACATTCTTAGTAACCACAAACAAGTTATTTTCTGAATGTGATTTATTTTTTTCTTTCCGTTAAACACATTTTGTGGTTTCCACTAAATTGCACTGAGAAATGGACTTCTAGTAAACACTGAAAGCAGGCAAAAAGAATAACAACCAATGGCACTGTGTGAGGGAGTTACCACCCCTGCAGGCACATTCAGTCTAACAGAAACAGGTGTAGTATGTACACTGCATGTAGCTATATTTATAAACTTGTCGACTGACTAGAACAATAAAACTAATCTATAATTTGTATCAAGTTCTGCTTCAAATTGTTATCTATTGTGAGATAAACATTAAATTACAATTTTCAGTACAGAAGTATTTAAAACCTGGCAAAAAGGACTAATTTACAAATTATTAAGGTATCTAACTGTGCCTTATGCCACTAACAATTCAGTGTAAACTAAAAATATAAACACAATTGAAGTCAGAATAATATACTGCAATATTGTCTAGATTTATGTACAAAAGATTCTTTGTTTTGCAAGTTTTATCCTTCTCTAAACTATGAGCAAAACCTAAATTAACATCAGTGTCACTAGAACTTGGTTAAAAATCATTGTGTATCATATTGTGCCTTATTAACAATGAGTACAATAGTATAACTTCTAAAATATACTCTAGATTGTTCATATTGGTGAAATTGTGAAGTGGAATGTTAACCTTTGAAATAATTACTGTGTGAAATTTTCTAAGAGTAACATATAAGTAAGTTAATATGTTTTTGGTATAGGTAAAAAATGGATAAAAGTAAAATTTTACATTAACTAGAATTAAGAATATAATCAAAGCAGGATGGATTTGGAATGACTATTGCCATAAATAAAATAAAATATCGTTCAGTAGCTTGATTACAAAGGGAATATTAATGGATACAGTAAAAGACACTAATAAAAGCAAAATTGAATTTGCGTAACAAAAACAGTACTGTTACATGTTATGTCAGCCTCCATACAGAACTTTATAAAAAAAAATTGTGCTGTGTAAAAATTCCTAAGTAAATATACATTTAAAAAACTGTTTAAAATTTAAAAAGTACTTAGTGAATTCAATTTTTAAAATTTAGCTTAGGTGTGAACAATTCTTTCTGGTTAGTAGTAAATAGTTTACTAATCCAAACATGTCGAGCAGATGAAAGGCAAAACAACATTTTACAAAGTTGATGCAATTATTTAAGTTTATAAACAAGAAAAGGACATTTAGCATAGGCTGGGACATAAAATAATGTAGAAGTCATGGTTTATTATGGTATAACACTATGAAGATCCAGTGGGTTTCTAGCTTTATCAAACTCTAAAGCACAACATAAAAATCCAAAGCTCAATACTTCACACTAAACCAATAAATTAGAGGGACATTTGCAGCTGGTAACAAAACTGTTGAGCAAACAAAAACATGTCATAGTTGTCTTAAAATTAAAAAACACAACCTTTTGCAATATATATCAAACAGCGAGGGATAACATTAATACAAATTTGTGTAAAAAAAAACTCAACTATAATAATTCAAGAATAGAAAACATGCATAGCTGTATCCTATATCAAGATGTAACTAACCACTCTAAAAACAGTTTCCCCATCATTAAAAGCATTTTGAGAGAAATAATTAAACAAGTATTAAAAATTAAATTTACATATAAAAATGTTGGTGGAAAGAGAAAAAGCAAAGCTACATCTTTGCAACTGATTCTCCACTTTCCTAGTAAATTAGTATAGACAGGTTTGTGGCAAAAGACCAAAGCAAACAAAAACTATACCTACAGCATTGCATCCCACTGCTTTGATCTCCTTTGTCTTCTTCTTCTTCTTCGTTCTTAATTTTTAGTGTTGGGAGGGATCGAGCCTAATCTGCCAGAGGGTTTGAACTCGAAACTTTTTTTGAATTTATCAACCATGAGCTTTGCCGACTTGACCATGCTTCCATCACAATTAAGGATTACGTGTCAACTGGTTATGCGCCATTGAGGCCATTGACTCCGATTTCAGCCTGCTTTTCTTTTTGGATTTGCTTCCATAGCCTTTGTCCAACCAAGAACAAACTACAAGGCAACAGTTGTTTGATTTTGGAGTTGTCTCTCCTAGAAGAGTGGCTGTCCCCAGCTAACGAGCCTCAACTGCCCGAGGGTTCGAACTTGAGACTTTTCGGTTTAGCAACCATGAGCTTTACCGACTCCACCACGCTGACCCCTCTCCTTTGTCTAACACCAAGCAACATTGGTCAAACGAGGAGCATCTTGCAATCACATTTTTCAATAAACTGAGTTTCAATATAATACCAACAATCTCAAAATAAACATATTTTTTGTATAACCAGTGATTTGGATAAAATGGTAATCCATATTTGGCACAGATTAGTAAAAGTTTAAACCAGTGCATATAGATGAGCAGAGAAAATCCTCGCCCTACACCTAGGATGTTGTTAAAAGAATATTGCTACATCATGCCAAGTTAGCCTAGTCGGGTTTCCAAAATTAAAGGACCTGACATAATTTAAAAAAACCGTGACTTATAAAAAAAAACAACAGGAGTGTCCAAGTAACCACAAAATGTCTAAACAGTGTGGTTTACAATAACTGATTTTTTAAAATGATAAAGTATACATTTATTGATAAAGTATATGTTCTTCAAAACATACAATCTTATGATGCACACAAAGAAAGACAAAGAGTATACAGTTTGCATGATCTGTTTTTTCAATAATTTGTTCTAGTTTAGAAACCTGTTGGTGTTTTCATTTTTGGGAAAATTTGTTGAAGGGATTGAAAAAAAAAAATGGAAAGCAGCACATTTTTTAAAAGGAATCATGAATGTCTCACCCATTAAGATCAGACATTTGTTGAGAATTTAAAGAATTTTTCCAATGAGTCAGTTCCTTACTATGATCCAGCCTTTGAGAGCTAAACACCCACATAGTTCAAACTGACATACTACTATGTGTCCGTTTTTAAAATTAATGTAATTATGCTAGAATAAAATGAAGCTGCTAAGTGACTTCAGTTACTTTAAAAATTATAGTGTTACATTGCACATAAATGATAAATCTATAAAATACAAATATAAACTGCTGTTAAATATCTATACAAACATAAACTTTTTAAAAAAGAACAACGGAACAAAGGTATGATCATATAAAAAACAGGATTAAAATTCCTCATGGAATAGAAACCTTAGGGTAAAAATGGTGGAGATTAAATAAAGGGGAGGTAAAATTGACACACAAAAATATTACACTAAAGTAAAAACAACTAATAACTCAATCCGTTTCTATCCCTAAAGAATCCGACTCCACTTTGGTTGTAAACTATAGAGGCAGGATTTGCATAGCTTTCTATCACCACAGGTCCTTCAATAACTTTCAGCTTCTCTCCTGGGCGCTTTTCAGTGTAAACCTGCAGAGAAATTTACCTTGATTTAATTATTTAAAATTATTAATGCTATTGCTTTTTAAAAAGGATTTTTACAAAATAATATAGTTAATACTTTAAGAAATTTATTCAGCATAAGTAAACCTAATAAAATATAAAGCAGTCAAAACTATTCTTCAACAAAATGAAGTTAAATTAAGAGTTAATATGATTTACCTTACTAGCAGCCGTGACCAAAGACTCAAAGAACTCATCAACATTGTAAGTCACTGTCTCATTCTCTTTAGGGTTGTAGATAAGAGGATGGTGAGAGAGGGTCACCCATGGGATGTCTGTGCACCAAGGATTCCACTTCTGGCCAAAGGTTAACTGCTGACCTTTGTCCCATCTCAGTTGAATACCCCCATGCTTTCTGTCTCTTAAAAAGTTAGTGAGATTTGTGAACTATTATGAATATAAATATATGAAGCCACAACATTCAACCTTTAGAGTTAATTTCTAAGCTTTGCCTTAGTAATACATTTAATTATTTTGATAAGGCTTGTTCCTGTTAAAGCTGAAGATTCTTCAAACAATTTTTAAGTTGGGCCAAACAGGATGGAAAAAAATAAAACAAGAACATTACAATACAATCTCCTAGATGCAACCTTACTTACGGCATCAGTGAAACATTAGGGTACTGGAAATCTCCTATACAGATGGAGTTAATAACATGGAGCATCACACGGCGATACTCATACAGTGTTTCATTGATGAAGTTGTACTTCACAATAAACACAGAATACTCTGTTAGCAAAACTATTTTCTCTCGTTCAAAGTCCCAATGGTCAATTCTGGACAAAATGCAAACAAAACAAATAAAAATACAAAACCAAATAATATATCACTAATGATAGCAGCACTTAGTTCTAGTTCTAATAATAATCTAATGCTACATCAATTTGATACTTTCTGTAGAACTTTGCAAAGCTCAAAAGAACAATAGCCAATTTTATACTAAATTATAATGAACTTGTAAAAAGCAAGAGAAAATATAATTGTGGAGATTTAGTGGACGCTTAGTGAAAAGAAAAAGCTAGTTTATGAGCAGATAAATTAAAATTCTCACTCTGTCAGAAGCCATGAAGACTTAAGTTCTCCATCCAGTTCAGGCTTGATTATTCTCTTGATAGAGTTCACTGCCTTTTCAAAATGACTTTCCTACATACAAAAAAGCAGCATATTGACTGAGAGAAAAAAATTGAACTATTTTTGTCATTGTTTGTATGTACAAAACATGGCATTTAGTGAATTACTGCTTAGTTAATGATTACAATACAATAATGATCAAACAATTTGAGCATAAAATTTGCACAGACTTTAAGTAAAAGAAGAACAATTCTGCAGTTGTAGACACTGGCTTTCAAGGATGCAAAAATTAAAGCTTTTATAGTTGTAAATGATTTATTAAAATCCGTCCTGTGTGTTGCTGTGGGCTGACACAATATTTGTAGGGATTTCATGAATGAATTACTGATGGTATTATTTTAGATGTATGACTTTGTTTTCTAAAACTGAGTGTTTCAAATGTAAATATGGCGGCTGTATATTTCTTGGATCTTAGTTGTTATGATGCGGTGTTCCGGCTACAACCCAGCTGAATAAAAACCTCGAGTGTGCTTTAATCACCATCAGTAATAGTGAGTTAGTACACACAGTTTAGGTGTTAGGTTAGTTGCAGGGTGCTCTCTCGATTGAACCATTGGTTACCACAGGGTTCAGTTTAATCAACGAATGTAGTTTGCCACAGTGCAGGGTGCTATTTAAAAAATGTAGGAGACTTAGTGCTCACGTGGAACCAGGGTTGCTACAGGTCCCCCAACTTGATTTAGTCAACAAATATATAGTAGCCCATCGGCATCATATTGATAGCAGGCTCTTTGAAAAGACTGTAGGCATCTTAGTGCTCACAGGGGGCCCAGGGTGGCGAATCACACCTTGCCTGACACAGGAAGATACACCTGATTCGCTTTATTGAACGATTATAGTTGCCCATTATATCCATAGTGTATAGTACTGTTTAAAATGAACATAATTGCCATAATGCTCTCAGGGGAACCTGGGACGTCAAGTAGCACCCTGTTGGGGCACCACCCCTTCAAAATTAAATATTGTTTCTTCACAGAAAACTTCAACTTCCCAAAGTTTCATGGATGTAAGGTGTAGTAGGCCTAATAGGCTAACATAGAGATGCTCACAAACCTAAAAGGAGTGGTCGGTTGCTAACAACAATATGGCTACCTAACCTGGCATAAGGTTGGACAAATTTTTTTGATTTGTTCAAGTCACTATCTCCACATTAACTTTAAAACTATTAATCTTGCGAAAAATGGTGTTTTTTCTGTGTAATTTAAGTTATTTTTAGATGATAGTACTATCTACGCCAGGAAATTTTTTCAAAAATTTGCTCCCGATAATGTAGACCAAATGTAAAAATTGGACAACTTTGAGCTTTGTAAAAATTTTAAATACTAACCTAGACTCAACCAAATTGGTGCTAGTGTGTGTGTCATTATTAGATTGAACTTTCTATGAAAAAAATGGACAAGGGGATAATAGATATTTGTTTTGACAATATAAGCCCCCGTACCACAATTTCGGAAATCAATGAGAGTTGGCCTACTAAACTAGACTTGGCATTAGCCGCCTATTAATTACTGTATTTACTTTTTTGATTATGTATCGTGCTTTTAAATTTCACATAGCCTAATTAATTTTTGTAAACTTCACTTTGTTTTTAGCCTTTGGCCTAGGCTTACATTACTAATTAGTAAATAAGTACATGGAATAGGACATGTGTGTGCTGTGGCGGGCGAGGCTGACTAAACAGCGAGAGCAAGCAAGCCGTCTGCTATGCGTGGCATTTTTCACTCTCGAGTGATTAATTATAATGCAATGACATTTTTAAAAAGAAAAATCTATTAACAAAATAAGTTATAGTCCTTTAAATTAAAGTTGACTTTAAGTAAATATTAATTTGGGGGTAGGCCAAATAATAGAAATGGGCTAACGAAATCAAATGTGCTGCACATTATGTTTAAAATCAAATGGGCTGCCTTGTCAAGACTGTACAGTTCACATCTTCAGACTGATCTGAGGTTGTCACGGAATTTTTTTTCCTAAACTGCCGTAGGTTGGAAATATATTACATTAATTAATTAAGCTCCGAATGAGCTAGTACCATCAAATAAAGTGTTTAATATATTAGATATTGATCTATATTTTTCATGGTAATGCTTAAAACAAAAAATAATGAGATTCAAAATTTAATGAGCATCGCTAAAATTGAGGTACCCAACTGGACATTTCTATCAGCTATTTTTAGTATCGTTACGTCATTGTTACGCTAGTTGCCTGACAGAAACTACTAATTTTTGTTTTTTGCTGAATGAACTGTAAAGTGTATAAATTTAATTATAATTAAATTATAGCATGTGCAGAAAAAGTAAAATTATGGACATTATTATTCAAATTATTGTATTAGTAATTTTATTAGTATATTGATTTTTTTCTTCACTGTGGGCCGACAGTAGCTGCATTGAATTTAATTCGTGACCGGTGGTTAACCTTGTCAACGCTGCATGGCCTATTCCACTATATAATTTGTGATGCTCGTTCAGTGGCCTTTATCAGAGGTAGGCCTAATTACGGGCGATTTTTAGACTTAATGATCGGCCGTTACCTTTGTCATTGCTGCGTATTTTAAACAATGCTCGTTCAACTGCCTTTTTTTTGCTCTAAATAATCTGTTTACGGGCATTTTAAGCATTTATTTTTTTTTACTTTTTTTAAGCTAGACCTAGATCTAGTTAAAAATAATTATTTTTTGCGCAAGCATCATTTTCGTCTGTTAAAATTACAATTGGTATGAGTACTGGATGGAGAACTTTTAGCATTTGTTTTTTTCGTGACAGATTTTATCAAGATAGATCAACTTCAAGTTGAAATTGAATATTTAAATTACTTTACCTTACTACATTTGCTTTATCTTTTAAGAGTTTAAAAATAATGTGTGCCTTTTGTGTAGACCAAAAAAATTAAGCTAAGTTTTAAAATTAGTCTTAGCTTTGTATCCATTCGGCTCTACTCTGTTATAATTTAAAAAATGTAATAATTAGTTCAGACCGCATTTGCGAGGTTCGCTCCTCGTTACGAGCAAGAAAAAAAAAAGTAGGTATCAGGACGATAGTCCTAGATCTAGTTAGGCTAAATCAAACTGCTTTAGTAAATTGTTTTTTTTTATACAGCTGGCTGTCTAGCATGCGTGATATGTGAACTTAAAAAAAATTACCAGAAGTAGCGAAGTAGGTCTGTTTTTCAATTTGCTTGAGGGGGGGGGGGGGGGAAGAGAAAAAGTGAAGACACCGACGATTTGTTAATTCTATGACGTGTACTATAGGCCTGCTGAACTCACAGTGACCCTGTCGACCGGGGATTTTTCATACACAGGCTAGTAAACGTAAGCAAGCAATCACGCTAGTGACGATATTTGGAGATTTAAAAAAAATATCACATGTCATGTTTTCAATATGAAAAAAAAAATGAAATGTAAAAAAAGACTTGGAGCTCCACGTCTATGAACTTCAGCTTCCACACTATTGACTCAATATAATGTGAATGGGCAATATTGCTACGCAGAGTGGCCACCCCTGCCTTACTTAGTTGTCTGTGGCGCCACCTACCGCTGGTTAGCCAGGGAGAGATAAAAGTTTTCGAACTAAATCAACTGTTGTGGACGGGATTCCCATTGATTACAAAAAACATGGCGGCTATTATTCGAGTGTTAAATAGTCTTTTAAGAGGCGCAAATCGAAAGTTTGAGGTGGGGGGGGGGGGAGGGGGGGGGGGAAACCGAAAATTGAAAAATTGAAAGTTTGTCCCCGGGAAGGGTCGCTACGCCTCTGGGGGGTGCCGCACCGGCACTGATTGATATTGAAAATATGCTAGTCTACTTGTCTGAAAGTAAGTAGCCTATTTAATAGGCCTAATTTAGTAGTTAATTCCTAATTCTTAAGTCTACAATCAACTACACTGTAAAATAAAAGAAACTAGATCTAGAATCTAGACTACTCTAGTCTATAAATTAAAAAAAAATCATGTATGTCGTATGTTACTGTCTACGTCGGAATTTTCAAGAGGACTTTTTTTTTTAGTCATAGATATAGATCTAGTTTAGATCTAGAAATCTAGACTCTAGCTCTAGATGTAGACTATAATTCATAATTAAATTTAGGCTTGATTTACGATTGAAATCTTGTATAAATCTCATATTTTATAAAAAAAATTATTATTATTATACAGGATCTAATCCTACGTCAAAAAACATGTGTATTCTAGATCTATCTATATAAAATATAATATATTCGTGTGTGTGTTATTTTAAAATTAATTTACATAAAACAACTCATCGTCGGAGTTTGTTTTGATTCCAAAAGCGAAAGTAGATTTCATAACTTAAAAAAATTATTCACATTAGGTTTGAAAAAAAACAAAAAAAAAAAACGCTAGCAGGCAACTACCGGAGCGAGACTTAAAGAAAGCGCCGGTAGGTGGCGCCACAGAAAACTAAGTAATATTTTCTTAAAGGCAGGGGTAACCACTCTGCGTAGCAATACGGCCCCAGATTCATAACTATCATATTATTTTAAGCGTATTTAAAATTAGAATTTGAAATAAAAATATTTATTATGGTCATTTGATTTATGCAAGTGTTCATTATTTCATAAAATGGTATAAATAACATGTAGGTCTAGAGTAGAATTTGTAATGTATAGGGGCCTATTTTCCTTTACCAATTTAATAAATAACTAGATCTAGTTTTATTATCAACCAGTTGTTATTTGTTATTTTCCAGTGAGTAAATAACCTATGTTGACACAATTACCATGGCAGCATTTAAAAACTTGTGTAAACAAGTTCACGAAAAGAACGTGGTTTTGGCTTTCATTTTCCATATTCTGATTCTAGGATAATTTTTAAATTCTCTCTTTTCTCGGCCACTGAGTAAGCTAGATATTTAAATGTGGTGTGAAATGTTCTCTTAAGGGGTAAGAAGCTTAATTTGAAATAACAGAATATTTTAATTTTAAAAATCCATAATTCAACCTACTAAATATTACCTAAATATTTTTTGGTAATCTATCGTTTTGGGTACGTAAAATCGCCCGCGATTTGTAATGTGAAAAACAGGTGACTCCTTAAATTTTAATAATTATTTCACATTTTGAGGAGAATTTATGTTTTAAAAAATTCAAAAATGTTTCCTTGATTCATTTATGTACCTGTTTTTAAACAATTGAATTAAAACTTTTCCGTAATAAATGAAGACTAGCGATGTTTCCAACAGATGCAACCATGCTCATTTACTATAGCAGCCATCTTGTCTAAGTTTTATTTTTATAAGCTTTTAGCGCCAGATTCAGGGGGAAGTCACTCTATTTTACAAATGGCTGCTGTTTATATAGCAAATCTTGCTCTCAGACACTGCTGTTTAAAGTTAATTTCTGGCCTATATCGATATATTTAGCCATTGATTTAGGTTTATTATTCATTTATCTATAATATTTGACACAAAAGTATGACAATATACTTCTATTAAAGCCTTGACAATGAGGTAACGTTTTCGTACATAAATAGCCGCGGGCGATTTTACGTACCCAAAACGATAGATTACCTATTTTTTAGTATAATTTTAAATTTACTAAACAAAACATTGTAAATAGTAAATAGTAAATAGTTACTAGATCTAGATCTAAATACTAAAATAGGCCTAAATAATCTAGATTTTTTTTTCTAGTAATCTAGTTGTAATTACTTTATAACAGTAATAAGACCGCGCTGAAAAATCACTTTGCACAATGCCAGGTTTGATAGAAGTACGACTGCTCCCTGATCTAATGCTGGCTCTTCCAATAACGCTTCCAGGTCTGTCTCTTGAAAGTTCACTAGCACCACCGATTGTTCTTGGTTGAGGGGCAAAGCTGATTTCAGGCTGCATATTGTGACTAATATCGGTGATAGTAGCATCACTAGAAGTTATTTCTAAAGTCGCTCCTTCGAATTCTTTCAAAACAGCAGGTTTATCATCATCCAAAACTGCTGCGTCGTTTTTGTCATCCAACACCGAAGTATCAACCACATCCAAGTTGGCCATGTTTGTTTTGATTTTCATCGCTTTGATTTGATCTAGAGTTTGGTTGTTTTAAATTTGAAAAATGATAGAAAACAATAAAATAGTAAAAAATAAATCGAGTAATAAAACTAATTGTAAAATAAACCAAAAACAATATTTAAATAGTTGTAAATTAAATGAATGAAATGTAATGAAAATCTTTCAAGTATAATGTATAGGTAAACTTTTTTGTTCTCCAAAAATAAATGCGTGGCTAGTTTTTGAATATTCCCATAAACACTAACTGCAACAATCCAACATGGCGAGTCCAAGCAAAAGGTCAGAGGATGTCTACGGTCAAAAGCTCGACCGTTGTTTATACAATGGTCTCATAAAGTTTGGTGAGCTCTTGCTTGGTCATATGTTTAGTTTTTGACAATAATAAAAACATGTATAGAAATGCTTAATATCATGTTTCTTAATAGCCTTAAATAAATATTTAAAATCCAGAGGTCTCTGGCCTGACTGATCACTCAGCAGATTCATTCAAATTGTCTCATAGAGGAGTTTACACTTTTCGGACACACACCAAAAATTACGTAGGAGCGAACACTTCGTCGGTTTTTGGCTCATAGAAACTTTAATTAGCATGTCTCACGCGAAACCACGGCGCCTGCATGTAAACTGTTCATTTATGAACACTTCCGTGTCAAGTACTTCCGTTTCCTTTCTCAAGAATTATTTTTAGAAATTTTTTAACGTTGCATGGTACGCACATTTCTATTTTTACACCAGCCGGATGAAGTGACCTAGGGTTGGACTTAGGGGCAAAACTTGAACCAATCAATGCTTAGCTAAAAGGTTACACTATAAATAGCTTCTATATATGTATGGAACATCGTAAATGTCAAGGTTAATGGGTTTTTTTGTGCTTGAACAATAAAAAAGGGGTGTTCGCTAACTTATTTGGCCTTACATGGGAGCGGACAGCAACACAAAAATATTATTAAATAAGAATTTAGAGCATAAAAGGGGCTGGTTATTGAAGGGAAAGGGTCAAAATAAGGTCAAGAAGGCAGTGGAATGCGAAAGAGGAGGGGGAATCATGTGACCTGGCTGGCTTAGCAGCGTACTGCGCGAGCCGCAATGGCTGAATGGGATGAACTTTGGGAGTGTGGGAAAAAGGTTTTATACTATTAAAATTACCTCACAAACAATCAATAACACAATATAAATGCATATAATATATGTTTTTATTCATTAAATTGACTTTAAATTATTCTAAATGAACAAAAAGTGCTATGTCCGATGACGGGTAAAGGTGTCCGAACACATGTAAAACTGTATTACATGTGTTCGAACACACGTTAAGACCCCCCAGTCACTATAACAAGAATAGCTTAAGTTCTATGCGTATGAATACAAAATGACACACACATTATTAAAGTAGAATGGTTGCGGATAGATATGATACTTTTTTTTGTTTTCTATGTTAAGCGGTTACTGAATGAGAATGCATGGAATTTTTACGTTGCGTTTTTTCGCTATGTGTGTCCGAAAAGTGTAAGCTCCTCTAGATCTAGACTACTTACTTACTTAAGTTTAGCACATGGTCACCAGATGGTTTGAATGAACAAGAATCTTTCACCTAACCAACCCCCAACCCCCCCCCCCCCCCCCATACACCACGCCACAACCCCACCCCCATACTACAGTACAGTGTGTACAGGTTTGTGCCTAAGTCCTAGCTGTAATTAAATTAGAGTCTATAATAATATATAGAAGAGATATAGATATGTAAAGATACTTCAGGATTACTATAACTATCTATAAGAATGGGGGTCTGGCATTTGGGATAATTGGGGGGTAGAAATGCCTTAAAATCTTAAGGATGACCCATAACAGCTTTTACACTACATGCAAAAGTAGTGATAAAACAATTGTCTTCTAGAAATGCATGTTTAGTAACTGAATGTGTTTTAAGCTGTTAATCAGCAAGTAATTTTAAATTATGTAGTCTTTTTTATTGCTTGTAATAAAAAACATGTATCAATACAACAGAAGTTGACCCAGATCAGTTGGTTTTTGAAGAAATTTTTATATAAAGCAGCTATTTGTTTACTACACGTACATGGCAGCCATGTTGTTCCAATTGATCAGTTATTTGTTTCTTATAATCTGATAAATATGGTACTTTTTATTTGTTCTATTTACTGTTAAATTATAAAACTGTTTTTGTTATGTTCAATTTAAATAAATGATTTGTTAGCCACTATCCAAAGCTTTAATAGCAGCCTCCAACTCTTTGTAGCTTTCAAAACAGCTGCTTACGGCAAAGTGATTGAAAAATCATGGCGTCCATCGTGTAGCAATCTTGCTTGTCGAGTGTGTGGCTCTAGACTAGTATCACAAGTAGAAAGGCTTAAACTGGGCGGGATTTGATTGGTCAGTGTACAAATAGCTTCCGATAATCTGATTGATCCGTGTACAAATAGGCTTCTGAAGGCTATTGGTACTTCACTACAAATAGCCCTCTGGAGGCTATGCATAGTTAAGTACGAACAGACACTCTCTTTTTTACAATGAGGTCATCAACAGCCCTCTTTATATCCCTTAATCCTAGTTCAATTCAGAACTAGGCTACTCATTAAGAACTTTTTAAAAATGTAGATGTGCTACTGAAAGGTGTATTTGAATTTGTTTATTCAAATGCAGACCCTGTTAAAAGTATATGGAAAACCATTTACTTAGTTTAATTTTTAAAAAACTAGGTTTTATAATCTTGTAAATTGCTGTTATTATTAACCTTGGTTCGGGCATACAGAATTGAGATTTAGAAAGTTGCCTATTTATAATAGTCCATTCACTTGCATGTGCTTTAAGTTTAATACTCAGTGAGATAAAACAATGAAAGCCAAATTTAGATTAAAACAGCACATCCCGTCATATGTGGAGAACTTACAATTGATTATTTTTATCGCTAAGTAAAATATGTTTATAATTTCCACTATCCTATGTTTGTTTGTATATATATTTTATACATTTTTGTTGTTATATGCTGTTAAAATTAAGACTTTTTGTCTTTTAAAAAGGTCTTTTTGATTTCTTATAATTATACTGTGTTTTTTTTTTTTTTGTGTTTCAGTTACTGGAGTGGGAGTAGGCATTGTCTTTTCAGCACTACTTTTCAAGCGTTAGTATTATTTTAATGGTCTTTTTTTTTTGTTCAAAATTTTTTTTTTTATATTATACATAATATTCATCAATTACATTTCCTCTCATTTATATCATTGTATCATTGACATAAGTTTTTATTCTAAACACAAGTTTAAAAATTATTTTAAAATCTGCTTACGTAGAAAGAAACCTCATCTTAAGTTTTTTTCTCTTGAATATAGGAAAACCCTGGCCTGTTATTTTGGGAGGTGGTATTGGTACTGGCATGGGCATATCTGATTGCAATAATGAATTCAAATCATCTGGATTTAGAGAGGTAGGTTGGAGTATTTGTCACAGTGTTTATCATGCAATTATAATTTAGCGATATTTTACAATAGATTTTGTTACACAAATTTACAATATAACTTATTGATAAAGTCAAAGGAAATAGTTTTTTTTAAATATGTATGTATCTTTGTAGGATACAACAGGTACATTTTTAAAGTTGCTTTTAATAATTCTTCTAAACACAAACAAGATAAATTTCACAACTTACATATTGTTTTAACCTTGCTTCGGAAGTTAGAATTATATTTAAAATATATAAAAAAGTTAAAAGATGCACAAATTACTTGCAAAGTTATTCTTAAATTGTTGGCTATGACATAAATGTAAGCATACTGTTTGCCATTGTCCAGTTCTGGCTCAATGAATCTAATGTAGGTAAAGAGCAGTAATGGTAGGTTGCAAGCTTCAAATAATGTTGCCACTAGTGTAACAGACATAACAACCTGCAGCTCACGACCTGTGAGTTGTCCAGTAGCTTTCTGTCCAGGGATTCCAGTGCTTGATTGTTGTCTGAACCTTGTGGACTCCTTTAGTTTAAACAACAAAATGACCACACATACTATTATTGTAATTTGATAAGAAAGAGGCACAAAGTTGAAGAGAAATATGTTGTCATACAGTGCCATGCTACTAGTTACTGGAGAGAGCCAAGCAACAATGCTGCTAGAATTTGTTACTGGGTTCCATTGTCTTGCAATGTTGTGTAGAGAAAATCCGGGAATGTGGAACACTAATACAACTATTACAATCATCACTATGTTCCTCACAGTCTGGGGAGGAGTGAATGTGTTTTTACAGTGGAATGGCATGGCTACACAGCAGCATTTTTGTATAGCGAGGTACACAGTGATTGCTGAGGAAATATTGTTAACACACACAGAGTATAGAAGCAGGAAGTATGCAAACATTAAATAAGGAAAGTCTTGTGATTTATTGAAGTAGCTCAGCATTCAGATTATCATTGCAGAGCACACCAGAATCAAATACATGAGATCACATGTTGTCAGCACCAGAAACGAAATATTGGGTGAATTGCCTCGCATCCCTATACACAGATACACATAGAGATTACTTAAGTTAGTAAAAATGCCAAACACAGACGTGATTAAATTCATGAACAGAACAATCTCCTGTGCTTGTTGAAATTGGTCCAAAGATATAAGTCCAGTAATAGCAGTCACGTTGAAAACCTTTTCAGCCATTATAGTATTTCTTCTTTATATCTTTCTGTAGCCTAAACACTTGAGTTGTATAATATAATTTTTCCTTCTTTATTTTATTCAAAAGCTGTATTTTTTTTCTTAAGGCTATCAATGTTTAATTTTAATATACTTTGATGTTTTCTTTAATTCATGGGTAATTTTTAAAAGCTTTTTTTGTAACCAACATCGTCACTATTGGTTCTGTAAATGAACATCTTTAAGAGCTAGATATGTAATTATATCTGATAGTGTTATTAAACGTCATTACTTTCTACAGAACTTAACCAGTTGGCGTTAAAAGTCAATACCAGTGAACATTGTCAACATATATTTATCCAATTATTTTTGACAAGTTTGCTTTTTGTACAAAGAATATTGAATCACCATTAATTAAAAGCAAAGAGATGTTTGAATGGATAATTAATAAGTTTGCTGTTAGAGTAGGAAAATAAGTTCTTTGTTTGGTAGCGCTAGACATTTCTTTGGCTAAATTGAACATCCTATAGGATTTTTAAAGTTTTGTCACAAAAGTAATTTTGGTAGTGTAATTATCAGCTGTTTTCTTTTTATAAAATGTTTCATTGATGCAATGCTTATGTGTTTTCTATACCCTTAATTTTTAAAATTTCTTTTGTGTTGAAAAGCAATCATCAAGATCTGTTGAGTTATTTTGTGAATGGGCACAGCAGCACATTTATAAACATGAGTTTTGTTGGTTATAGGTGTCACCTTCATACCAATTAATGGAGAATAATCAGCAACTCCCACTTGAAACACATAAAACTGAGGGATACAAAAGACAGCGTTGTAGTCGTTGTGAAACCAGCAAAGATGTAGAGAAAGAAAATAAATTGCCTTGGATGGCTAAGCCTAAAAATGACTCATAAAAAGTGAAAACCCACCCCAAAATGCAGTGTATGTGTTAGTGAATAGGTTTTTATTTTTGATGTTTGATACATTTTTCAAGTTATGTTTTCATTTTGATGTTTAGTTGGTGTTCATCTTTTTTAAGGAAATTATCCAGCAATTAGATTTATACAAAGTCTGATCAGTTAAAAGGCACATAAAACTGTCTAGTGATTTCTGTTTTTTCTAAATAATGTTACACAATTTTACTTATGGTTTCTGTAATGTGCATGATACAATTTATCTTACCTAAAAAGTTTAAAACAGTAAAATAATGTAATAGTCTATGATTTATCAATTATTTTCATTAACCAGATTGGTAAGGTTACTTAAAAAATTTTTATGTTGATGTTGAGTTTGTGTTAACTTTTAGTCAATCAAATACCTTTGTACAAAGTCTGATCAATTAGAAGTCATGTAAAACAGTTTAGTTATTGAATTTTAAAATATCAGGTTCTCCAAACAAGACATGACACTGCAATTTTTCGTCATCACAGTTTGTCTTCTCTAAAAAAAAACAGCCTTGAAGTATAACAAAAATCATGCAACAACTCACGATTTAGGTGTCTGTATGACAGTAGCATGAAATCAAGTGTTTTTAAACTTTCCATTAACCAGAACTAAAAGCTACATACATATACTAACCACTTTAATTTTTTTTTTGCAGACACCATCAGATAAAACAAGTGAAACATCGTGATATACATGCCAGTCTCTTCGCAGTCCACTTTTTTTGTGTGGTGATTGCTGCACTTATAGATCAAGCTTAGTTGGATTAAACCTATTTATTCTGATGTTATCTTTCAATAAAAGTTGCAATTAAGTTGTAAAAAGATTTGCCTTACATCTTTGCTAGGAGACATTTATTGATGGATGCCCCTAAAGAATTGGAATGATTTCCAAATAAAGCATTTGTATACTAATTGTGATGTATTGTTGATAAATTTGAGGGTGAAAGGTCTTGGTGTGTTGTGAACATTTAGGTTTTGTTCCTTTATAAAGTTTTCATTTGTATTATTGTTAACTTTGGAAAAATAACCAAAATAAATTATTTTTTACTTAAAACATTGTTTACTTTCTAAATTCATTAGGAAAAAATTTGTTTCAGATTGTATAAACAACAGTTCACTGGTTAAACTTTTTTTTATACTTGTTAAGAAAACATGACATGAATTCATGAATAAATTACTAGCATGATATTGATATTAATTTTTTTTTGTATATGAGTATTAGGAGTAATTACTATGATTATGAAATATTTAACATGCCCAAAGTGCTCATGTTGAGAAGGTTAATTATTTTTGATGGATTAAAAACTGATGTATTCAGTTGACAGTTTACAACACTTAAATATATAATCAAGCTATAGAATAATAAGTAAGCAAAAAGAGTTTATTAAAAAATAATGACATAATTGGCAATGATAAAACTATTAAAACCATGTTTTGGTTCCCATTTACACATTTGATCAAGCACACAAACTTTAATACTGAAAACTTCTTTTAGTTTTTATATCATCCAAAATCTGCTGCAGCTCATCATCTTCAAACCTTGCCTCCAAACTAAAATTGAAAAAAACATATCAAAAATAAAAAACAAACAAGCTATTAAATATTTTAAGACAACAACCACTAGGTCTAAATAGCCTTTAAATCTGCAAGGATCTGAAGACTAAGACTATTAGCTGTGATTTTATACAAAATACTGTTCTAGTTTTACTACTCATGTATCATTTATGTTTCTCTAAGCTGAAGGTTTTCAATTTAAAGATCAGCAATATGTTTTTAGCTGAATTGCCAGACTAGATGTAAGGTACACCAAAAAGGTACCTAACAGGAAGGACTGTCTATCAATTTTTGCTCTTCCCTACTTCCTTAATCAGCACAACCCTGATAGATCAGTACAAGATAGGCCCTAGTAGAAAACAGTGCCACAACCAACTTCAATGCTGGCTAGTGAAAAAATTATTTTGCTTTTATGCTTATCTTCCCTATATAATTTTAGATTAATAACTCCTGGGTTCTCCAAAACAATAGAAATTATAAACAAGCATTTTTAAAATTTCTAAATACGCAAAAGATATTGAAGTATTCAAGTACACAAAGTATTTACAACTATGTCTTAAAAGTTTTAACCTAAAATTTACTGACTTTCTAATTAAAAATCCATCTCGACAGTACAATTCTACCACATTTGGTCTAAAAGTTTCTTTTTGACTTTCTCCAGAAAGCACGAGCACAAACTGACTTGCCCGTGAGGGTCGAAAAAGGAACTTTACTTTTATACTTACACTAAGTTATACAGCCATGAATTTAGTGTAAATGAAATTAAGTATACAGATCTGATCCTACAAAAATTAATCTTTCAACTGTTAAGTAAAATTCTATCAGGACATAAAATTACTAAGACTTAGTGTTATCTTTAAAAATAACCATACCTAGGTATCAATGATTTTACTTCTTCAGCTGTTTCTGGACAAAGATTTGCTAAAGCTGCCAGTTCAAATTTATGGAGTTTTTTCTGCATCAACAAACTGGCGAGGTAAAATTAAAAAAAATCACTACAATTTTAGAATAAATAAACACTAAAGTTTTACAAACAGATCTCAGTAAGTATGTTTGCTATTAATTGAATAAAAAAATTGATACTTTAGATTAATTTGAAAGCATAAATAATTTTTTTCCTTTATGTTATAATGTACTAAAAGCTTTGTCAAAATGACTACCTTCTTACGGATGCAATCGTTTCCCTGTTTTTAAATTTGCTGAACCTCTCACAATAATTCAAAGTCTTTGTGAACACTTCAGATTGCTCTTGCTCTTCTTCAGCGCTTTCATTTTGTTTTTTTCTAATAGAAAACAAACAACAACAGACAACAGGTAACAAGAGTAATTGCTCAGTTATACTTAAAGCTGGAAAGGTACCCTCAAGAATAATCTAAAGTAACAATGGTATTAACTAAATATACTGTTGCACTGCGGTTTAGCAACTACTATTCCAACTTTGACCATAACAAAGAAAAATGAAGAGAAGGAAAAAAAAAATACATTAATCATTAACAAGCCAAACATATAAATGTTAAAAACATTTTAGCTTTAAACTCAAAGATAAGATTAAGGTTTGGGGTTGAAACATCATCTGCAATCTAGCTACACTACTAGATGATAGATCTAGGTATGAAGAAAGTACCCAAAAATAAACACCTTGTTTAACTTTGTATACCTGTTGATTTAGTTATGCAACAGTGATACAATACTGAACCAACACTACAATATGAAATCATACCTGTGGTCTAACAACATTTGTACTTCTGATATCAGCAATGTTTCTGCATTTTCAAATTCTGAAATGAAAGTTTTATTTGGATTCATTCATAGGCCATTTCCTATTCTAAAAATCTTGATATAACATTCAGTAATTTTAAATTACATAATCCCATCTCATACATCATCAGTTTTTTAAGATTATAACTGCAATAATTGGAGTGGGTTTCACATAAGAACTAAGGTCAAATCATGTATCATTGAAATCCACCACACCCACTCATTAGCCTAAATTTTTTTTAAACTTGATCAATCCTGGTAAATTTGTTCTATGCTCTAGATAAAATACGCAGCAATGACAAAGACCGATCAAATAAGTCTAAAAATCACCCGTAATTAGGTCTAGCTCTGAAAAAGGCCACTGAACAAGCATCATTAGAAATACTAGACATTTCATGCAAATTATATAGACGAACAGGCTACTCAGCGTTGACGAGGTTAACCACTGGTCACGAATTAAATTCAATGCAGCTACTGTCGGCCCACAGTGAAGAAAAAAATCAATATACTAAAACATTTACTAATACAATAATAATCCCCATAATTTTATTTTTTCTACACATGCTACAATCAAATTATAATTAAAATACTAGACTTAACAGTTCATTCCTCTGTCAGGCAACTAGCGTAACAATGACGTAACGATACTAAAAATAGCTGACAGAAATGTCTGCATGGGTACCTCATATGGAAATTCGATATAAAAAAGGGGAATCAACACAACTATAATTAATCATTATAATAATATAAATAGGCCTATCTCAGTTAGGCCTATACTATATATTACTACTTTTGTACCAGGGGGTTTCGACAGTGTACCCGGCCGTTTAAGGCGGCAGTTCAGTTTTATTCCAAGAGTACTTGACAAGTAATGTGTATTAATGAAAACCATATATCTCGTGAATTTTTCGGCCATTTTAAGGCATGGCGTCTATTTATTTATCATCTCGCATTAAAATAATGATAAGAATTAATAGTTTTTCTCACTAAATCTAGAATTTACGCAATTATCAATTTAAACATGACCACTGAATAATAGACATCCATATTTAATCCATTAGGCACTAACTTTGGAGTTTTTAGTTCTTTTTAAACTAAATTACTTAATTTAATATTTATTGTCAATCACTGCCATGTCCAACACATCTCTCCATGACAACTCTTCTAACCCTTGAAGGTAAAGAAAACCACAAATCAGGTTAGACTTTTTAAGTGGCCATGCACAAGAGTTCCTCACTAGTGATCTCCAAATAGTGGTCACGTGGTTTATTTTTAAAAAAAAATTTGGTTGTCATTTTTGTGGCTGGTCTTATAAAAAAAGGGTTGACGATATTTGATTTATTTTTTCATAGACTGATAAAACTAATAATGCTTTACTATGGAAATCAATTTTGTAATATGGAAATCGATATTTAAAAAGTTCTAGTATTTTTGATGAAGCCAACTTTTAAATTTAGCCTTCATTCTCCAACGCAAATTTTAAAATGCTTTTCTGGCATATATAGCCCTGCCACCTATAGCTTGTTGTTATAACGTGAAAGTCCCGCCATTTTGCGCATGGTAAACATTTTAAAAACTAATTAGTAGAAGGTCTCTGGAATTTGTCGGAAGTCAAGCGTACGGTCCGGACGCCATATTGTTGTTAGCAACCGACCACGCCTCCAAGTTAGCGAGAAATACTTTGCGAGATTAGCAGTTTTTTTCATTTGACGTGTATAGGACCCCTAAAAACGAAAAAAAAAAAACCCCCGAAAATAACGACGCGTGACGTTTCAGTGTCAGAGGTTATCCTGCCATCTCAGCAAAGAGCCGGACTACTATGTATGTATACTAGTAGTATGTAGTAGGTTGAATTATGGATTTTTTAAAATAAAATATTCTGTTATTTCAAATACACCATTAACTTCCTTACCCCTTAAGAGAACATTTGACACCACATTTAAATATCTAGCTTACTCGGTTGACGAGAAAAGAGAGAATTTGAAATTTTTCCGATATTGGAAAATGAAAGACAAAACCGCGTTTTATCCCCTCGACCGGCATAACATTACGTCGTGGACTTGTGTCCACGAGCTTTTAATTCCCGCCATGGTAATTGCGTCAGCTTAGGTTATTTACTCACCGGAAAATAACAAAAAGCAACTGGTTGATAATAAAACTAGATCTAGTTATTTTATTATTTATTAAATTCTACTCTACATGTTATTCATACCATTTTATGAAGTAATGAACACCTGCATAAATCAAATGACCATAATAAATATTTTTATTTCAAATAATAAATATGCATAAAATAATATGATAGTAATTGCTAAGATAGTTTATAAATACAAATACATTTTACACTCAATCACATTATATTGAGTCAACAGTGTGGCAGCTGAGGTTCATACATGGTATTAGTGTCCCCTTTTTTTTTTACATTACATTTTTTTTCATCTTGAAAACATGACGTATGTGATTTTTTTTTTAAAAATAAAATCTCCAAACATCGTCACTCGCGTGATTGCTTGCTTATGTTTACTATCCTGTGGATGAAAAGTCCCACCACGGTCGCGGGGTCACCGTGACCTATAGTACACGTCATAGAATGAACACGCGTACACGAGATGGTCGGTGTCTTCACTTCTCTCTCTCTTCCCCCCCCCCCCCTTCTTCAAGCAAATTGAATAACAGACCTACTTCCCTACTTCTGGTCATTTTTTTTTTTAAAGTTCGGTCATTTTTTTTTAAAGTTCACATATCAGGCATGCTAGACAGCCAGCTGTATAAAAAAAAAATTTAACTAGATCTACGTCTAGCTTAAAAAAATAAATAAATAAACGCGTAAAATGCCCGTAAACAGATTATTTAGCGCCAAAAAAAAAAGGCAGCTGAACGAGCATTTTTTTTTAAAATACGCAGCAATGAAAAGGGCTAACGGCCGATCAATTAAGTCTAAAAATCACCCGTAATTAGGCCTAGCTCTGAAAAAGGCCACTGAACGAGCATCACTGATTATATAAACGAATAGGCCACGCAGCGTTGACGAGGTTAACCACCGGTCATGAATGCAGCAACTGTCGGCCCACAGTGAAGAAAAAATCAATATACTAATAAAATTACTAATACAACAATAATGTCCATAATTTTACTTTTTCCACACATGCTACAATTGAATTATAATTAAAATACTAGACTTAACAGTTCATTCCGTAAAAAACAAAAACTAGTTGTTTCAGTCTGGCAACTAGCGTAGCAATGACGTCATGATACTAAAAATAGCGGATAGAAATGTCAGCGTGGGTACCTCATTTTGGGATAAGATTTTGGAAGCCAGAATCAATAATTATGTAAATATACAAGGTAAATATCTCAATTATATATTAATTTAGAGGAGGTCGGGCCGTTTTCCCCGGAGGTCGGTCGTTTTTAGCGGCGGTTCAGTTTTTACGGAGAGCGCTCTACTAGAAATCCTCTCATTATTTACAACAACAAATCTCTCGATTTTTTCTGGCATTCTAAGGCATATTATCCATTTTATTAGCATTCTGCATTAAAATAATGATGAGAATTTGCGAGATTAACAGTTTTTTCATTTGTCGTGGATGGGACCCCTAAAATAAACGTAAAAACCGTCTAAAAACGACGCGTGACGTTTCAGGGTCAGAGGTCAATCCAGCCATCTAAGCAACGCGCCAGACTCGTATGTAGTGCGGCCTTTTCTAGATCTCTAAATTATATATCTACTAGACTTTAACTAGAGATTAGACTAGTAGATCTACAAACTCTAGTTTTATTTTTCATTTTCTAATTTAAAAAAAAAATTCGACCTTTTGGAAATTGTAACTCGGATGCATCCTCTTCTTGATTATCACTAGTACCAGATTGTTGTTGAGATTGCGCAGCCATTTTGTAAATAAAAGAGTTACTTGAAGAGCTACTTCTTAGCAAATTTCCGATTAATTTGCTAATCTACGAAATAAAACGATCGCTAAAATCTAGATCTAGATTTTGATACCACTTGTTAAATTTTAAAAAACCGTATTAAGCCTAAATCTAGAGTCTATAAATAAAATGTAGACGTCTAGATTTGTTTGTGAAAATATAGCTTAAGGTTTGTTTTTTAACCACTAGATTTTTAAAAATAAATTAAAACTAGATCCATAAATTAAACTATAAATAGTGTCACATTGCCGTCACGTGATAGAAAAAATGGCTGAAGATGATACTGTACCTCTTCTTACTGCTGGACATAGTTCAAATGTTTCTGTGAAACAAAATTACAGCCGAGAAGTTTCGGAAAATACAACATACGTTGCAGATAATGAAAAGGTGCAATAATTTGTGTAATAAGTAAATAAAGTAGTCACTTTAAAAGATTGCTAATGGACATGAACGAGGTGACAACCCTATCGAACTACTACTCAGTAGTACTACGTATTCTACGTAACGTTACTACTAGTACTAGACTAGAGAGTAGAGAGTCTAGTACTAGAATATAGTAACTAGTACTGAAGAAATACAACTACTAGTAACTACTAGGGATGGTGTGGTAGAGCACTCAACTACTCTTAAGCTCAGATCTCAAACGGGTCTGTCTGTGCAGCATGCAGCAACCACCAAGCTTTGATGACTACTTGACCTATGTAATGGAAAGTAAAGAGAGCTAACCACACCATCACTTCATGTGCAGTAGACTGAGTAGTCAGGAAACAGATAAACTCTACTTCAGCTGCTATATGGATGATGGATTGACAGGTCCAAAAGGGAAACTACTTTAGGGTGTGGGGAAATTGCGAGACGCGAAAAGCGAAATGGCGAGGCGGGAAAATGCGAGAAGGGCGCGAAAACGGTCGGTCACGTGACTTTTTTGTCTCGCATTTTACCACAAGCCGATACTTACGCTGGGTGGTGTTGAAATGCGAAGACTTCTGCGAAAAATTTACCGCACCCGATTTTAGGTGGTATTTGGTCCAGACTTCAAAGACGTTTCGTTTACATTGTTAAAACTTCCGATTTTTCCGTCGCTAGACATACTGAGGATTTGTCAACTCCCCCCATCTTTTGTGTCGACTTAGAATACCGCCTTGTTCGAAACCGACGGAAATACCGCAGACGATAGATCAACTTCTGTCTTTTGTGTGGAACGCTGAGGCCGCATGATTTACCGTCTTTGAAGATCGCCATGCCCGGATCCGCTGCCGCCGCAAACATATTTTCTATTGTTGCATAGAAATTTTGTATTATAGCCGCCGCCTACGATTTTTTTCTAGCTTTTTTTACCATATAAATCTAAGCACAAGGAAATGCCTACATCATTTGGATACAACAAAATAAAGTGACGTCACCGATATTATCAGTTGCTCGTGCTATATCGTAAGCTATGGGCCTACTTCAAATGCTTTTAAAACCAAGTTGAACTTATCTGAATTTTTTTGGTTTTGGTGGTGGTGTTATTTGGGGTCTTCCATAAATGACGTCACACTCGTAGGGGGGGGGGTCTGTAATTTTATGACGATGTGTGATGAGGGGGAGGAGGGGGGGTTAGATGTGAAGTCCCACTATAAAAAAGCAATGTTAGAAAAGGAATTTTAGACGTTTTTTCGCGTTTTAGAAAACTGTTTTAATACATTGTAATAGGAATTGATTAAAATGCTCTATTTTGACCAAAATTAGACAAGATTTTGGGAAAATATCGATGTTTTAAAAAAACTCAACTGCTGGTGACAACAATGAGCAAGACATTGCCAAAATTACAGAAATGATAAAAAATACAAATTATAAAAAACGGAAAACAGATGTTGAGCGTGCGGATGATGATGATGATGAGAACATGGATGCCAGTGTTGTTTGTGGGATGAACGAGAAGGTCAACTGTGATGAGAATGTGAAATGTTGTGAATGTGGATTGGAAGAAGTAGCAAATGAAAAATGTATAAATGGGAGTCTAATGAACTGGGCTGGGTGTACTATGTGTGAAAGATGGTGTCACGAGGTGTGTTTGAGGACTGTTTCAGAAGATTTTGGTTGTAATTAAAATTACTTAATAAAAAAATAAATTGCACTTTTTAGAATTGTTTATACTTTTACACTTTTTGCAAGTACAAAAATCCATAAATAGATGTTGCAAAATATCTCTCCTGCTGACAAGATTATACCAATTCACAATGACACAGCTCACGTTTGTATAAACATGAGCGGGCTAGATTTTTAAATTAATGCCGACTGAGACGGGATTTTCCTCTCGCTAACAAGAGCGTGTGATGACAGTAGCACAGCAACGATGTTAGGATTTTTAAATAGATAGATCTAGATATAGATCTATCTATCTTCTTAGTATCTAGATAAAAAATAACAACATACAACACTCGTGTTAAAGGGTATGGCTAAATGCTTGTTTATTTTAAAACAAAAAAAATAATAATTTAAATACATAAAGATGGAAAAAAAGGAAAAAACTTTTTTCGCAAAAAGTGTCTCGCTATTTACCCATAATTCCGCAGGTATGTCTCGCATTACCTTCTCGCATTTTCCCGCCTCGCCATTTCGCTTTTCGCGTCTCGCAATTTCCCCACACCCACTACTTTAATATACTAGGGTCTTTATCAAGCCCTATTGATATTTTGGTACAACTAATCAATAGAAAAACCTTAAATTCTTGTATAAGTTTATTAAGCTAACTGTTAAGTTGTACCACATCAGTAGGAGTAACAGCTTCCCTGTCTACCTGCTTATTTGAACATATTGGCAGTATGCTGTGATAAGTGGTTTTTTAAGTCATTTTGTATAGATTTTTGTGCAGGCAAGTGTTTATATATTAAAAAAAATTGGATTTAGAACATACGAGCCGACCCGCGGTGTATCATATGCCGCTATTTGGTTGTTTTATTTTCTACTTTTCAGTAATTCATAATTAGTGAATTCTACAGTACCAATGCTGCCACTGAAAATATTTGCTTTAAAACACTATCAGTAGGTCGTTAAAGACTATAATGCCCCACCTCCCCCCCCCTCCTTTCCCCCAACCCCTACCCTACACCCCTCCCCCCCAGTGAAAGCAGCCTCATCTTAGTAACCTCCCCTAAGTTTAAAATTGTTTCAAACTAAATTATCTGTCCCTAATAGCCATCATTAAACCCGGCTATACAATTGTAAACATTTAGCGTGAACCACAGTTCACCAGACCATGTGGGGGTGGTAGGGATATGCCTTGAGAGGAAGAGGGGGGCTGCTAGGTGCGCTTACAGCTTGGTGTTTTCTATGGTCTCCATGAAGAGAATTATATATATTGATGTTGTTTTCAAATTATTTTTTTAAAACGTAAAAATGAAAGAAAATGTGGTTAGAGTATTGGAAATTAATATGATATTAATTTAAAATTAATAAGAGACAGTGGTAAAAACAAAGTTTTAAAAATCTGTCAAGAGCTCTGGTAAGGTTTTTCTATGAAGATCTCCCTTTGTTCAAATGCTACATACTACACTACACTATCCCACTATCTACGACTAAAAATAGTAAAAAAATAGCAAAAAAACCTATCAAATCGAGTACTAAACTTATTAATTTTAATTTTAGGCCTAATTATTTTCTAATTTAAATAATACCAATAAAAACTAGAGATCTATTTATAACTAACCAGGCACTAAATTTGATAGTTGTTGCTCATTTGGGGTTATTAAATAGTATACAGCTTTTACTTAGTGCACGACAGCATTCCAATAGTTCACTGATGTAATCTGAACTTGACATGACTCGCAGTGCCAAGCAAGTGCATGACAATTGTCAATAGACCTAACAACTAAGAAGCATCACTTGTTAAACTCGACTTTGTGACAATACCATTACAGGTCCTTTTTCTTGACTGAAAAAAATAGTTTTCCCGCATGTGTCAACAACATACTACAGTGGATTTTTTAGTTCAATGGGTATATACCCTACCCCTCGCCCCCTCACAGCATACTTCATTTCTTTATAAACAGAGTTAAAATTTAACTTTTGAGTTCAAGAAGGGTCGAGAGTGGTATAGAAACAACAAAGCTGTTCCTTTAATAGTTCAAATATATAACTAAAAATTATAGGCTTACTGACATAGCATCATACAAGAAATGCACAATCTCAGTGTTAAATAAATTAGTTAATTAACTAATTAAATATCGCTAATGATAATGAATGGAGAGAGGTTGTTTTGTTTAAGGCACAGCACACAATCCTGTGTGTGCGTGGTATGTGGCCTGACCGACTGAAAGGAGATTGTTTATATTATTGTTTTGAGTTTATATTTAACACAATCTAACAAGCCCACCCGTTGGTTGAGGCCATGCCGGGATGGGGGGGGGGGGGGGGGCGCGGAATGGACGTTCTGTCCGGGATTCAGAGGGATGACTTGAAATATTGTCCTAACAGTTACCTATATTAGCAACACTTAAATCATCGAGTGCATCTGGCTCAGTATAATAAATCCTTAAAATACAAGTTATAAATAGTCCAATAACACTAATAGTTGAAGGACTGCCAGAATATATATATATATATATATATATATATATATATATATATATATATATATATATATATATATATATATATATATATATATATATATATATATATATATATGCATTATATTATAATATTAATACCTAGCTGTACTTACAATATAACTAAAATGTGTTTCCAAATATTTTTAGGCTAATGGGATCTACATTTAAATAAACACATTCAAATACTTACCTCATTCAGTAGACACATTAGGCTTCTTTTAGCATAGTAGCACATCTATATTTTTGAGATTTCATATTGAGTAGCCTAGCCTTTCATTAAACTATGATAAAAGACGGTAGTATATACATGCGTACTATCAGAAACTAAATTTATAATATAGCATCTTTCACAAATCAAGTGTATGGTTTCTGCATACTTTTCTCTTCTTATTGTACAGATTCATCTTTTCACATTTCATGTCTCGCATTTTACCCCCACCTCTTAACTTAATGACTATAGACACTTAATTAATAATAAACTTAAACTATTCCTTTAATTAAAAGTATTAGTAAAACTCATACTTAAGTGCTTGCTTTTTTTTCTCTATCTGTAGCCATCAAGATCACATCTAGCATTAGCTATAATTGCTTGTATTTTAGGAAGTCCTTTGCAGATTGGTCTAAATACATCAATTTTAAATGCTCCAGAAGAGGTAAAATATTTTTTATTTTCCTATTGTGCATGTAAAATAATAATTAAGTAAAGCTCTGTTTTGAACCCTGCGACCCATATGGCAGGTGAAGTACAATTCACTTGTATCTATGACTCGCCATACGTAGTGATAGTGTTATCCACACTTTATAAACAGAGTTAAAATTTAACTTTTGAGTTCAAGAAGGGTCGAGAGTGGTATAGAAACAACAAAGCTGTTCCTTTAATAGTACAAATATATAACTAAAAATTATAGGCCTACTTACATAGCATCATACAAGAAATATAGTGATAGTGATAGTGTTATCCACACTATGCCCAACCGCCTTTATTTTCCCTAGTATACGTCAGGTCCCCATCAGATTTGGGAGGACTCTGGGACATGTCACGACCATTCAACCATGCCATCCCTGTATGTGAAGTATTACTTTACAATTTTAAATGTTTGCGTTAAAACATTTTTTCTAAATAAATTATACATTTTTTCTATTTTGTTTGGGTGGTGAAATTGCTCAGAAATAAGGTAGGTGGGTCGCGTGCCCCGGAGAAATGACCTGAAAGAAACTCTGTTCATGTTTTATTTTTCCCTTATTAAAAAAAAAAACAAATTTGAAAATTTAGAACTGTTTTAATAAAACAAATTTTACACATTAAAAATCTGTAATAGCAAATAAAAATATTATTTATAAAAATGTTTAATTTTCTTCTTGTCCTAGGTTATCAAAAGTTTCTACAACAAGACCTATGTGGATAGACATGGGGAAAACATACCTGATGCTTTACTCACTCTCTTATGGGCAGTGACTGTAGCATTCTTTTGTGTTGGAGGTATGCTTGGTGGTGTTTCTGCTGCTTTTTTTGCTGGAAGATATGGCAGGTAAAAGTTTCTCACTGCACGTACATTAGAAGCAACACTACACTAGTGTATGCCTGGTAACTTGCTTCTTTTATCTTTTTTATAAAAGCCTGGTTTTTTCAACAGGAAGAATACGTTGCTGATGAACAATGCCTTAGCATTCTTGTGTGCTGGGCTACAAGGATGTAGTAAACTCGCTGGATCTTATGAAATGTTGATTGCTGGACGAGTGGTTGCTGGAGTATGTTGTGGTATGCTGTTATTAAAAAATAAAAGTTTTAATAATATCTTATGAATAAAAGCGTGGATAGTATTAGTTAAGAAAAAAATAATATCATGAATTTTGTGGTTGAAAATGTCAATGTGTAAACATATTGAGATGAACGATTATGAGCCTTGTTTACTTATTCCCTAGGTTTGACTTCAGCTGTTGCACCTTTGTACTTGGCTGAAATCTCTCCAGTTTCTCTCAGGGGATTCTGCGGTACTTGCAATCAACTGTCAATCACGTTAGGCGTTTTAATGGGTCAGGTCCTTGGCCTGGGAAACATACTTGGTACAGAGGACTATTGGCCCATTCTCGTGGGTATGTTGATACTTATACTTGGTACAGAAGACTATTGGCCCATTCTCGTGGGTATGTTGATACTTATACTTGGTACAGAAGACTATTGGCCCATTCTCGTGGGTATGTTGATACTTATACTTGGTACAGAGGAATATTGGCCCATTCTCGTGGGTATGTTGATACTTATACTTGGTACAGAGGAATATTGGCCCATTCTTGTGGGTATGTTGATACTTATACTTGGTACAGAAGACTATTGGCCCATTCTTGTGGGTATGTTGATACTTATACTTGGTACAGAAGACTATTGGCCCATTCTCGTGGGTATGTTGATACTTATACTTGGTACAGAAGAATATTGGCCCATTCTCGTGGGTATGTTGATACTTATACTTGGTACAGAAGACTATTGGCCCATTCTTGTGGGTATGTTGATACTTATACTTGGTACAGAAGAATATTGGCCCATTCTCGTGGGTATGTTGATACTTATACTTGGTACAGAAGACTATTGGCCCATTCTTGTGGGTATGTTGATACTTATACTTGGTACAGAAGAATATTGGCCCATTCTCGTGGGTATGTTGATACTTTTCATTTGAAAATGAAATTGCATCTTAAAGCATCTTGCTACATTAATGAACGTTTTATATGATAGTGTAGTTACACTAACGGTCTGTCAACCGAAATGATTATCAATATTGCTGTATGTGATGCGTTAGTCCTGTAAACACCTGCTTTTATTTCAATGACACCATATATGTAGTGTAGCTTACTAAGGATTTGTTTTACTTTATTTACCATACAAACTTTACCAGCCAAAATAGTTTTAGTTTGCTTTAAAAGTAGTAATTTTTAACAGTAACAGCTATTGCATTAAAAAGTAATAGCTGTAGTAATGGTAACAGTAATTTTTAAAAATTTATGTTTTTTCCCCACCCCTTTCTAGTGTTAGTAAAAATAGCTTAGCTGGCGAAGTTACTAAACATAGCACCCATTACGGATGTTCATGTAGCTCAACACCACAGCCTAACTTTGTCTTAACATCAAACTGAAATGACACCATCCTTGTAGGGATTTTTACATTTCCTGTTCCAGGTTTTCCAGCAGTCCCAGCAGTCTACAGTCTGTTGACCTTGACTTGGTGTCCAGAGTCACCTAAGTATCTGTTGGTAAACAAGGGAGATGATGAAGCAGCAGAAAAAGGTGACTTGCATTTCTGTCATTCTGTGTAGATTGATACATAATACTGTCATCTGACAACTAACTTTTAACTTTTAACAAATCTTGCCCACATGACAAGGATAGAGTTAACAAATATCTTATTTAAATGTAGCTCTTTGTTGGCTGAGGAAATCTTCAAATGTCTCTGATGAAATGGAGACCATGAGAAAAGAAAGAGCAGAGCTTAGGAACTCACCAAAGGTAGGTGTGTAGCTTATGCTGCCACTGTTTTTAACTGTTTTTTTGTCCCCTTATCAATGTTATTAATGAAATGCAATTTTTATAATTTTTTGCAATATCAATTTCAATTTTGAGAAAAGCAAAATACAATTCATATTCATTCAGTTTATTGTTTTTTTAAGCAATTCAAAACTAAATTTAAAAACGAAAAAAATGTCTTAAATTGTTTTTTTGCTACTCATTTTTTTCATAAGACATTCCACTTATTTGTGATTTTGTGATTACAGTTTAATGTGTTGGATCTTTGGAGAAGCAATGAACTAAGATGGCCGCTGGTGATCTGCATTGTGCTACAAATGTCCCAGCAGTTTTCTGGCATCAACGCTGTGAGTGTAACCAAAAATCTGACACCCTAATTTTACATACAAACTAAAAAAAAATTTATTCACTTAAATAATCAACAAGGTACACCATAAAAATTTAATAAGATCTGATAACATCACCAAAAGACATTCTCATTGTAACAAAAAGTAAGCTAAAAAACCAAACTCTTTGAAATAAGGCTGGGTTCAAAATATACATGTTTGGCATTTTCTTCTGATTACAACTTTTCTATGTGGTTTAATATTTAGCTGGTATATTTTATTGAAACACCCAACTCTATTCCTCTAGGTGGTTTACTATTCAACCAGTATATTTTATTGAAACACCCATCTCTATCCCTCTGGGTGGTTTACTATTCAACCAGTATATTTTATTGAAACACCCATCTCTATCCCTCTAGGTGGTTTACTATTCAACCAGTATATTTTATTGAAACACCCATCTCTATCCCTCTAGGTGGTTTACTATTCAACCAGTATATTTTATTGAAACACCCATCTCTATCCCTCTAGGTGGTTTACTATTCAACCAGTATATTTTATTGAAACACCCAACTCTATCCCTCTAGGTGGTTTACTATTCAACCAGTATATTTTATTGAAACACCCATCTCTATCCCTCTAGGTGGTTTACTATTCAACCAGTATATTTTATTGAAACACCCAACTCTATCCTTCTAGGTGGTTTACTATTCAACCAGTATATTTGCCTCAGCTCAACTCTCCAAGGATGAGGCCCAGTATGCCACCGTAGGAACTGGGGCAGTCAATGTCATGATGACCTTTATATCAGCCCTTATAATGGACCGAGCTGGCCGCAGGACTCTCCACATGATCGGCCTGGGTGGCATGTGTATTTCCTCAGTAGTCCTCGTCGTCTGTCTCACATTGCATGTAGGTAGACCATGTCAGCTGACTAGTCCATGTCATCTGTCTAGTTCATGTCATCTGTCTAGTCCATGTCATCTGTCTAGTCCATGTCATCTGTCTAGTCCATGTCATGTGTCTAGTCCATTTCATCTGTCTAGTCCATTTCATCTGTCTAGTCCATGTCATATGTCTAGTCCATGTCATCTGTCTAGTCCATGTCATCTGTCTAGTCCATGTCATGTGTCTAGTCCATTTCATCTGTCTAGTCCATTTCATCTGTCTAGTCCATGTCATGTGTCTAGTTCATTTCATCTGTCTAGTCCATTTCATCTGTCTAGTACATGTCATCTGTCTAGTCCATGTCATCTGTCTAGTCCATGTCATCTGTCTAGTCCATTTCATCTGTCTAGTACATGTCATCTGTCTAGTCCATGTCATCTGTCTAGTCCATGTCATCTGTCTAGTCCATTTCATCTGTCTAGTCCATGTCATGTGTCTAGTCCATTTCATCTGTCTAGTCCATTTCATCTGTCTAGTACATGTCATCTGTCTAGTCCATGTCATCTGTCTAGTCCATGTCATGTGTCTAGTCCATTTCATCTGTCTAGTCCATTTCATCTGTCTAGTACATGTCATCTGTCTAGTCCATGTCATATGTCTAGTTCATTCTTCTCTTTCATTTTAACTATTCCAAAACAATACAGAGATATAGATCTATAGATATTATGGATTATTATACTTTTTGAGATCTTAAAAAAATTGTGAAATAATTTAAAACAAGTAATTAAAAAAAGTCTAGTGACAATTTTAGCGCAATTTCCTTATGTTATCTAAAAATAGCTCTGTCGTAGCGTAAATCAAGAGCAGGTTTAGTAAAACCATTGGTTAGTTATTAAAACGTTTTTTATTAATTTTTTTTCGGTACTTTACATGTTTTATTTACAATAGAGTTACATGACTAAAAACCATTGCACGCCCAGCTACTGAAAATGACGTCGCAGCCATTGAACGTGATGGCGCAGCTATTGAACGTGATGACGCTTGTGATGTGGTTGCATAAAATGCCTACTAATTCGGTCCAAATTTTAATTAATTCAAAAAATTTTTTGTGACCGAACGAAAGGATATTTTTGAAAACTTTCTTCGGCAATATTGTTCTAAATTATGGCAGGAATCGATTGGTACATGTTTCAAGTCGCTAAGTGGTCTGGTTGCCGAGATATGGGCCAAAAACTGCATTTTTTCGAGGTTTTTTGGCTTTTCCGGGAAATCCATGAAAGAAACCCGGAATTTTTATGGCCTATGCTCATCCTCGTAACTTGCTTAACATAATTGCTTTTGGAACTAGTCATCGATATTGCTTTGTTGAGGAGGAGATACGACTTAAAGCTGCGGACACACATCCATCCATTCCCAGAAATGACGGGTTAATAAACGCAATTCTCCAGAATGGAAATTGCGCTAAAAAACATCTCAACTGTTCAAATTATGTTTGAGCAACCAAGTAACAAAGCTATTAACATTGACAAATAAATGAATTTCTTTCTGTCAGTGAAGATTGTTTGTTGACACTGTCTGTTTACTGTCATGCAACATAAGCTGTTTAAGTAATTGTTTTTTTTACAGACAACTACTTCATGGCTGTCATACATCAGTATCGTTGCTGTCATTATTTATATTGTATTCTTCTTTTTTACAGACAACTACACCATGGCTGTCATACATCAGTATCGTTGCTGTCATTATTTATATTGTATTCTTCGCTACTGGACCAGGTTAGTTATTTCCTAACAGTTTGTTAAACAACTGGTACACACCACACAATGTTAAATGGTCTGGGCTTTAAGAGAGCAATAGAACAAACTTTCATCATAAAATAAGATCAAATTTAAAAAAGGCTAAAATACACATCTAAAACAGTATAAACAGACAGGTGAAAGGATAAATAGACCACATTGACAGGTCACATGGACAGACCACATCAATAGACCACATCAATAGACCATGGACAGACCACATGACAGATCACATCATAGACCACATGAACAAGACCACATGACAGATCACATCAATAGACCACATGAACAGACCACATGACAGATCACATCAATAGACCATATCAATAGACCACATGAACAGACCACATGACAGATCACATCAATAGACCATATCAATAGACCACATGAACAGACCACATGACAGATCACATCAATAGACCATATCAATAGACCACATGAACAGACCACATGACAGATCACATCAATAGACCATATCAATAGACCACATGAACAGACCACATGACAGATCACATCAATAGACCATATCAATAGACCACATGAACAGACCACATGACATATCACATCAATAGACCATATCAATAGACCACATGAACAGACCACATGACAGATCACATCAATAGACCACATGAACAGACCACATGACAGATCACATCAATAGACCATATCAATAGACCACATGAACAGACCACATGACAGATCACATCAATAGACCATATCAATAGACCACATGAACAGACCACATGACAGATCACATCAATAGACCATATCAATAGACCACATGAACAGACCACATGACAGATCACATCAATAGACCATATCAATAGACCACATGAACAGACCACATGACAGATCACATCAATAGACCATATCAATAGACCACATGAACAGACCACATGACAGATCACATCAATAGACCATATCAATAGACCACATGAACAGACCACATGACAGATCTCATCAATAGACCATATCAATAGACCACATGAACAGACCACATGACAGATCACATCAATAGACCATATCAACAGACCACATGAACAGACCACATGACAGATCACATCAACAGACCACATCAACAAACCACATGAACAGACATTATGAAGAGCCTGTACTCTCCACTCCAGGTGCCATCCCATGGTTTATGGTGGCTGAGCTGTTCACACAGAGTCCCAGGACAGCAGCTGTTGGTGTGTCTGTGGTGGTCAACTGGCTGTGTAACTTTACAGTTGGTATTGTCTTCCCAGTGCTCCAGGTCAGTGACTGCGCTGGTACAGTGTTAAGTTCTGTAGTCTTACTTTACCAGTTTAGTATTCCTACAGTCTCTTTTATTTCTGTAGTCTTACTTTACCAGTTTAGTCATCTTACAGTCTCTTTTATTTCTGTAGTCTTACTTTAACAGTTTAGTTATCCTACAGTCTCTTTTATTTCTGTAGTCTTACTTTACCAGTTTAGTATTCCTACAGTCTCTTTTATTTCTGTAGTCTTACTTTACCAGTTTAGTATTCCTACAGTCTCTTTTATTTCTGTAGTCTTACTTTACCAGTTTAGTATTCCTACAGTCTCTTTTATTTCTGTAGTCTTACTTTACCAGTTTAGTATTCCTACAGTCTCTTTTATTTCTGTAGTCTTACTTTACCAGTTTAGTATTCCTACAGTCTCTTTTATTTCTGTAGTCTTACTTTACCAGTTTAGTATTCCTACAGTCTCTTTTATTTCTGTAGTCTTACTTTACCAGTTTAGTATTCCTACAGTCTCTTTTATTTCTGTAGTCTTACTTTACCAGTTTAGTATTCCTACAGTCTCTTTTATTTCTGTAGTCTTACTTTACCAGTTTAGTATTCCTACAGTCTCTTTTATTTCTGTAGTCTTACTTTACCAGTTTAGTCATCCTACAGTCTATCTTATTTCTGTAGTCTTACTTTACCAGTTTAGTCATCCTACAGTCTCTTTTATTTCTGTAGTCTTACTTTACCAGTTTAGTATTCCTACAGTCTCTTTTATATTTCTGTAGTCTTACTTTACCAGTTTAGTATTCCTACAATCTCTTTTATTTCTGTAGTCTTACTTTACCAGTTTAGTCACCCTACAGTCTCTCTTTTATTTCTGTAGTCTTACTTTACCAGTTTAGTCACCCCACAGTCTCTCTTTTATTTCTGTAGTCTTACTTTACCAGTTTAGTCACCCCACAGTCTCTCTTTTATTTCTGTAGTCTTACTTTACCAGTTTAATATTCCTACAATCTCTTTTATTTCTGTAGTCTTACTTTACCAGTTTAGTATTCCTACAATCTCTTTTATTTCTGTAGTCTTACTTTACCAGTTTAGTATTCCTACAGTCTCTTTTATTTCTGTAGTCTTACTTTAACAGTTTAGTATTCCTACAATCTCTTTTATTTCTGTAGTCTTACTTTACCAGTTTAGTATTCCTACAATCTCTTTTATTTCTGTAGTCTTACTTTACCAGTTTAGTATTCCTACAATCTCTTTTATTTCTGTAGTCTTACTTTACCAGTTTAGTATTCCTACAGTCTCTTTCATTTCTGTAGTCTTACTTTAACAGTTTAGTATTCCTACAATCTCTTTTATTTCTGTAGTCTTACTTTACCAGTTTAGTCATCCTACAGTCTCTTTTATTTCTGTAGTCTTACTTTACCAGTTTAGTATTCCTACAATCTCTTTTATTTCTGTAGTCTTACTTTACCAGTTTAGTATTCCTACAGTCTCTTTTATTTCTGTAGTCTTACTTTAACAGTTTAGTATTCCTACAATCTCTTTTATTTCTGTTGTCTTACTTTACCAGTTTAGTATTCCTACAGTCTCTTTCATTTCTGTAGTCTTACTTTAACAGTTTAGTATTCCTACAATCTCTTTTATTTCTGTAGTCTTACTTTACCAGTTTAGTATTCCTACAGTCTCTTTTATTTCTGTAGTCTTACTTTACCAGTTTAGTATTCCTACAGTCTCTTTTATTTCTGTAGTCTTACTTTACCAGTTTAGTATTCCTACAATCTCTTTTATTTCTGTAGTCTTACTTTACCAGTTTAGTATTCCTACAGTCTCTTTTATTTCTGTAGTCTTACTTTACCAGTTTAGTATTCCTAGTCTCTTTTATTTCTGTAGTCTTACTTTACCAGTTTAGTATTCCTACAGTCTATCTTTTATTTCTGTAGTCTTACTTTACCAGTTTAGTATTCCTACAGTCTCTTTTATTTCTGTAGTCTTACTTTACCAGTTTAGTATTCCTACAGTCTCTTTCATTTCTGTAGTCTTACTTTACCAGTTTAATATTCCTACAATCTCTTTTATTTCTGTAGTCTTACTTTACCAGTTTAGTATTCCTACAATCTCTTTTATTTCTGTAGTCTTACTTTACCAGTTTAGTTATCCTACAGTCTCTTTTATTTCTGTAGTCTTACTTTAACAGTTTAGTTATCCTACAGTCTCTTTTATTTCTGTAGTCTTACTTTAACAGTTTAGTATTCCTACAGTCTCTTTCATTTCTGTAGTCTTACATTACCAGTTTAGTCATCCTACAGTCTCTTTTATTTCTGTAGTCTTACTTTACCAGTTTAGTATTCCTACAATCTCTTTTATTTCTGTAGTCTTACTTTACCAGTTTAGTCATCCTACAGTCTCTTTTATTTCTGTAGTCTTACTTTACCAGTTTAGTATTCCTACAGTCTCTTTTATTTCTGTAGTCTTACTTTACCAGTTTAGTATTCCTACAGTCTCTTTTATATTTCTGTAGTCTTACTTTACCAGTTTAGTATTCCTACAATCTCTTTTATTTCTGTAGTCTTACTTTACCAGTTTAGTCATCCTACAGTCTCTTTTATTTCTGTAGTCTTACTTTACCAGTTTAGTATTCCTACAGTCTCTTTTATTTCTGTAGTCTTACTTTACCAGTTTAGTATTCCTACAGTCTCTTTTATATTTCTGTAGTCTTACTTTACCAGTTTAGTATTCCTACAATCTCTTTTATTTCTGTAGTCTTACTTTACCAGTTTAGTATTCCTACAATCTCTTTTATTTCTGTAGTCTTACTTTAACAGTTTAGTATTCCTACAATCTCTTTTATTTCTGTAGTCTTACTTTACCAGTTTAGTATTCCTACAGTCTCTTTTATTTCTGTAGTCTTACTTTACCAGTTTAGTATTCCTACAGTCTCTTTTATTTCTGTAGTCTTACTTTACCAGTTTAGTATTCCTACAATCTCTTTTATTTCTGTAGTCTTACTTTACCAGTTTAGTATTCCTACAGTCTCTTTTATTTCTGTAGTCTTACTTTACCAGTTTAGTATTCCTAGTCTCTTTTATTTCTGTAGTCTTACTTTACCAGTTTAGTATTCCTACAGTCTATCTTTTATTTCTGTAGTCTTACTTTACCAGTTTAGTATTCCTACAGTCTCTTTTATTTCTGTAGTCTTACTTTACCAGTTTAGTATTCCTACAGTCTCTTTCATTTCTGTAGTCTTACTTTACCAGTTTAATATTCCTACAATCTCTTTTATTTCTGTAGTCTTACTTTACCAGTTTAGTATTCCTACAATCTCTTTTATTTCTGTAGTCTTACTTTACCAGTTTAGTTATCCTACAGTCTCTTTTATTTCTGTAGTCTTACTTTAACAGTTTAGTTATCCTACAGTCTCTTTTATTTCTGTAGTCTTACTTTAACAGTTTAGTATTCCTACAGTCTCTTTCATTTCTGTAGTCTTACATTACCAGTTTAGTCATCCTACAGTCTCTTTTATTTCTGTAGTCTTACTTTACCAGTTTAGTATTCCTACAATCTCTTTTATTTCTGTAGTCTTACTTTACCAGTTTAGTCATCCTACAGTCTCTTTTATTTCTGTAGTCTTACTTTACCAGTTTAGTATTCCTACAGTCTCTTTTATTTCTGTAGTCTTACTTTACCAGTTTAGTATTCCTACAGTCTCTTTTATATTTCTGTAGTCTTACTTTACCAGTTTAGTATTCCTACAATCTCTTTTATTTCTGTAGTCTTACTTTACCAGTTTAGTATTCCTACAATCTCTTTTATTTCTGTAGTCTTACTTTACCAGTTTAGTATTCCTACAGTCTCTTTCATTTCTGTAGTCTTACTTTAACAGTTTAGTATTCCTACAGTCTCTTTTATATTTCTGTAGTCTTACTTTACCAGTTTAGTATTCCTACAGTCTCTTTTATTTCTGTAGTCTTACTTTAACAGTTTAGTATTCCTACAATCTCTTTTATTTCTGTAGTCTTACTTTACCAGTTTAGTATTCCTACAATCTCTTTTATTTCTGTAGTCTTACTTTACCAGTTTAGTATTCCTACAGTCTCTTTCATTTCTGTAGTCTTACTTTAACAGTTTAGTATTCCTACAGTCTCTTTTATTTCTGTAGTCTTACTTTACCAGTTTAGTATTCCTACAATCTCTTTTATTTCTGTAGTCTTACTTTACCAGTTTAGTATTCCTACAATCTCTTTTATTTCTGTAGTCTTACTTTAACAGTTTAGTATTCCTACAATCTCTTTTATTTCTGTAGTCTTACTTTACCAGTTTAGTATTCCTACAATCTCTTTTATTTCTGTAGTCTTACTTTACCAGTTTAGTATTCCTACAGTCTCTTTTATTTTCAACTACAAATATGTAAGCAAAGTTTTGTCCTTAAACTTCAAGAAAGCTGATTACCATTTGCAGTCCATGGATTAGATGAAATAGAGTTTATGTAGTAATCTTTGACTGTATTTCAAGAGAACACAGTCCCATAATGATATCCTCAAAATGTTTTGTTTTCTTCCCTCACCAGAAAGCCATCCTGACCTACTCCTTCCTCCCCTTCTCTGTGATGCTGGCCTTGTTTTTCATCTTCACGTACATGTTTGTCCCTGAGACTAAAGGGAAAAGTATAACGGAGATCACCCGCCTCTTCAAGTCACCCACGGTGGGGAGCTCTGCCAGTGACCTCGGGGGCGCAGATGTTGAGTATGAGCGGTTCTTGAACAGGATGAGCACACAGGTGCTGATCATAGATCCCCCAGACAACAGCCTTGACGACACCATTCAAGGAACTGATTCTAGGGAAGTTAAATCAAGAGTTCAGTTTGAGTAACTTATTTTTTTTTAATATCATAGCTTTTAAAATGGCATTTTATAAATATTTTTTAACAACAGATAATTTGTAACTTCTAGACGTGTAACCTTATTGTAAAAATATTTAAATGTACATATTTCTTATTTTGTATTTATCTGATGTAAGCCTTACTTTTACAAATGTACATAGTAGGCATATCAAATTTTAATAACACAATTTATAAATGTACAGTATAACAGTAATGATAAAACTCATGATTTATACTGGATTTTCTAAAAAATTGTAATGTATCTAAATAGAAACTATTGCTTTTCAATATAAAATCTTATCTAATTGTTTTAATTTAAAAGCCAATTAATTAAATGATGAAAATGTATTGCTTCAACCACTGGGTGTTTAAAACCCAACAAAAATTACCACAGTCTTTCCTTACCTCCCTTCTCAATGCCAGCTTGGCTGTCACAGAGAAGAGTTATGTGCTCTTATTGTTTGAAGTTTAGCTTTGGATGGATACATTGTTTCATACAAGGACTCTCAGAAGTCCAAATTTTAAAAATATTTTTAACATGACATTTTGTAAATCCCAAAAAACTTTCATTTTTTTTTTCAATAGATCTATTAATTTACAAATTTTTCAATTGTCAACATTTACTTGAGTCAACAAGTGATAAGAAACTTGTACAGTTAAAATTGTCTTTAGAACACAGAGCTAAGTCCCTTGACTTTTTGTTCATGTTATAACAATGACACAGAGGTTTACTAACAGTGTCACTAGGTTTGATAATGTTATGAATTACTGAGCAAGTGCTTATAGCAAAGAGCTCCTAACAGGTTTATCAGGTTTATTTTTGCCTTGTTTTTTTGGTTTGCTGTTGTTGAGTGTTACAGATTGGTAAAAGTTTGTATGTAAAGTTTGTATGTTTTACAAACTTGTGCAATGCTCAATGTTTTTATACACCATAAACTTGTAAACATTCCGTTAGGTTGTGTCTCAAATCATGGGATGGTGTGGTCAAATAACAGAGTACTCGGCTCTAGCCCAAATGTTTTGAATTTGGATCTCAGTCCGTACTTAGTGCTGTAAGATTTCCCTGAGTACACCCATCTCTAATGGGTACCTAACTCATGTTGGGGAAAGTAAAGGCAACTGGACATAGTGCTGACCACACCATCCCTTCATAATGCGAGGTCAAGAAACATGAACTCTACTTCATCTGATCTTTAGATCTGCAAGGGGAGGTTCTATGTGTCAACTCACCATCATTTTGTCCTACACAGTGTGTTTGTCTGGACACTCTTAGATAGCTGACATAATGGCAATAGATGTGTGCTAAATGGTTTGATAATTTGTCTCATGTAAAACTTTTGTTATTGGCCAGTATTTATATGTATGCTTAACTTCTTTTTATAGAGAATAATATTGAATTATAAAGTTGGTAACATATATTTTCAAGTCTCGAGTAAGCAAGATTTGAAAGCTGTTTACTTGATCAGAAATAAAAGCAACATTAAAACTGTTAGCACTTTTGCATTTCACTAAGTTTTTTTGTTTAGTCTTGTTGATGAAGGCACAAGTTGTGTCCATGACAAAAATGTTTCTGTTTCTGCATATTGTGATTCTTTGAATGCTGCGTAAAGAAAAAGTATGATACTCCTCTATTAAGCTAAACAACCTTTAACAACTAATACTTGTCAAAACATTCATCGAATTTAAAAAAATAATCATTAGGAAAAGAAGCAAAGGAAGTAGATTTCATTTGTTCCTTAGAGCCCGTATACGAATCTGCAGTCAACACTGTCCCATCCGCATTCACTCTCCGCGACTCGTTTCTCGTGCTCATCAGGTCAATGCTGGTAGAACATCCGGTCAATGCTGGTAGAACATCCGGTCAATGCTGGTAGAACATCCGGTCAATGCTGGTAGAACTCCAGCCGTTTGACTTGAAGTGTGTCGTGCTCATCCGGTCAATGCTGGTAGAACATCCGGTCAATGCTGATAGAACTACAGCCGTTTGACTTGAAGAAACCCAGGAATCAAACTCGAGACCTTTGAATAGGAATCGTCCGCTCTACCACTCGATACTACTTTTAATCGCATAAATTTGGCGACAATGTGAAGGCTATTGGTTACACACATTGAACCTCAATGGAAATGCCGTTGGTTAAAAAAAAAAAGAAATGGTTGAATATTACCAGTTTTGACAACTATTTCGACATTCCCCGCGTCCAAGATAATTTGGGCTGCCCATATCTAGAAATTCACAAATTATGTGTCCCAGACACTCACTGATTATAATGGATTTCGAAGAGCTAATAGCTGCAAACGATATTTTTATTTAAGCCAGCAATACTGAATACAAGACTCGGCTCCTAGATGCTGCTGCCTATGGGTCAGAAGCCCCCCCCCCCCCCATATACCCCTCGGTAGATACATAAAGGTTTAGCGGGGGGGGGGGGTGTGCAAAATCGAAAGTTTGAGGGGGGGGGGGTGCAAATGAAAATTTTGAGGGGGGGGGGCTGCAAATCAAAAGTTTGAGGGAGGGTGCTACGCTTCTGATATGTACATTTATAATGCGGGAAAAAATTTGAACCCCCCCCCCATGAGACGATCCTGGCTACGCCACTGGCATGTATAGTATGAGCTAGTAAACTGTTAAGCCACAATATCTTTTGATAGAAATAATGGCTGGTTCTTGGTATAATGCTGTACTTTCTTCCAGAGACACGTAGTAAGTTTGTTGTGATGAAGTGGAATTTGATTCCTGAGTCTACAAGGTCATGTTTTGACAGATGCGTCGATAAAATGAGAGGTTAAATTATTTTGATATCAGTGGGTAACGTTAATGACTAAAGTTTTAGAACCGTTGAATTGGTGTCCATGTTGTGTAACGACCAGCTTATCGTAGATAAGTAACACATTGAACACTGGCACCGTAATTTTAAAATAATCGATAAATCAATATATTGATTTTTAGCTTTTTAAAGAAAACTTTATGCTAAACTATTTTGTTAACAACCTAACTCTTTAGCAAGGATTGAAATCGAACAAACAGCGCAATCAGCGCTAAAAGTAGACAAGCGTAGAGGGCTGAAGTACTATTTTTGTGTGGACTTCGTGCATTCATAAGTGTATCTCCAATAACAACGCAAGAATATATGTATATCAATTTTTCAAATCGTGAATAAGCCATTCTAAATAATTAAATAAATTTAAATAGAATTTTAAAACTTGGGAAAGTAACTATGTTATAGCGATAAATGATTAGAAGCAACAGCCAATGCATTTTTAAAGAGCTATAGTAAAAAAAAAAAGTTCCCTTTTCAAACCTGACGGACTAGAGGGCAAGTGAAGTAGAGTTCACTTGTTTCTGTGACCTCAGCATATGAAGATGGACGGTCCACTGACTTGAACCCAGATAACTAGCGACTTACGGGTTAGCAGTCCAGCTCTCTACCGCTAGACCACTCCGTCCCACAAGAGCAATAGAGATTGACAGAATTTCATCATTAACGATCGGCTTGTTAAAAAAAATATAAGTATGGTTGGCTACTAATTGCTTTTGAAACCTGACTATTACATTTGGTAGTGCATTAGGGATCGTCTATAAATGACTAAACCTTTCTGGTGGGGATGTTGGATTTTTGTAAATACAAATGACGAGATGATGGTTAAGAAAGTGAAGACACCTCACACTATTTCTATGTTAATTTTTTAAACCGAATTTTCAGTATAAATAACTGTTAAGACTTCAGTTTTAAAAATTACGGTTATTACAGTAAATTGGTCAAAAGTTGATAGAAATTTACGTATAGGGTCTAATACTTACAAATAAAATTTCAAAAACCTGAAACGGTAAAAGCTATCGCGTTTACACATGCACGCACACACATACGCACACAAACAAACATACATACCTAACTGCAAAACTGAGTTTTTCCATCTCATGAAGATTTGATTTAATTCACGATGACAATACTTTTACTATTCTTCGTTTACGAGAAAGTAAAAGAAAACAACTTAGATTTCAAAATTAGAAAGTAAAGACGTAGCGTCAATAGTTTATTTTCCTTACTACAAGTTAAATTATACTGAGTATTACCGTGCGGCGTCAAAACAGCCAGTGACAAAAGGGCACCGGAAAAAAGAACGGCCCCGACAATAGCCCCGTCAAATCGACCCCGTCAAAAGGGCCAGCGACAAATAATGCCCGTCATTTAGGCCCCCGACAAATATGCTCCCATCTTGTAGGCTCTCGACAAAACGGCTCCCGTCATTACGACTCCCGACAAATAGGCTCCCTTTACTTTGGCCCTAGAGAAAAGGGCTTGTGTCAATACAGTTCGAGTAGGGATTAAATTTCCCGGCGAAAGGGCCTCATTGAATATGATCCATTCCAGTAGGATCCCTCCATCAATAAAACATCACATTTTAAAATTAGTTGCACTTTGCTGTAAAAAGCTCAATTTATTTATGAGTTGCTATTGATTCATGATAAATATTTTCATTTCGGGATTCATTATTATCGGAGCCCATTTGACGGGACCCTTTTGTCGGCGGTAATTTGACTGGGTTGTTTTGTCGGGGGAGGGGGTGGAGTCTATTTTTCCATTACTATTTTCCATCTCTGTCGACTTCCATACACCAAAATATCTATAAAAAAAATAAGAGAAAAAAATTAAATGTTGAATAATTCTGAAAATTATATATATATATATATATATATATATATATATATATATATATATATATATATATATATATATATATATATATATATATATATATATATATATATAAATATATATATATATATATATATCTATATTTATATAATTACAATTATACAATTTTTAATTCGTAGTAGGGCCTAATAAGCCAACTATTAAACCCTTATTTATTCTATGCATGATGTATTTTAGTAAGTAGGCCTATTTTGTAGTGTTTACAACAAATTGATCACCGAATAACATATTAATAAATATATTGTAGATATGGTGTGTGAAGTTATAACCTATGTCTACGTGGTGTGTAGTTTCTTTTTATTCAACACATTGATTACATTTTTGATAAAGGCTGGTCTTTCGTTCGAGTATTGATTGGAGCAGTTTGTATTTATAGGTAGGCGGCTACCTACATTAAATAGTAGACCAAGTATCCGAAGTTTAGGCAGTTGTCTTTGTGCCGCCAAAGTAAAACGTTGACTAGACGAATTAGCTTACAATTTTTCTAAAATTTTGTAATCAGAGGAGGAGTTATATGGGGGGGGGGGGGGGGGGGAGTGAAGAAGTGCGAGGAATACATTCCTATGTTTCGCATATGGAGAAATGACATCAATATAATGTTCTAATTGATATTCAAATCTGCAGCCTTTTCTGAATGTGGTTTTAAATTAAAGTTATCAATTTGTTAGAAAAAGAGACTGAAAGAAATAAAAAAAAAATATTTCTTAGGTAAGGCATTTTTTACTTTAAAAAAACAAACTACAATTTATAAAAATAAATTCGTTTCTGTTTACTTCTACCGCCTATTTTTTTATAGGGAACTTTAAAAATCTTAAAATAGAAACATTACTGTAATTAATCTTACAATCACTTGATCAGAAAATTAAAAGAAAAAGGAAAATTAAAAATAATTATTCCCATAACATAGCTAATTAATTATTTTGATTTAAAAGAAAGAGCAGACTTACTTTTATAATATTAGTTAAAAGTTGATTTAAAAAAAAAATCTTAAACGGGTTCGTGCGAGACTATTGTCTAAATAATAGGAATCGTTCCACGGTTAGTCGGTCGTTGTTATAGAACCCACAGATGCTGGAAACTAGTATAACAGCAGTTGGGCGCAACAATTATTTTTATAAAGGTAAGAAAAAGATACTTTTTACTTGAATAAAATGTGACATAAGTAGTTATTGAGATATTAACAAATGGCTTTATACTATTCCAACAGCATTTTTCTTTAACAAACAACAAAAAGATCAAACCACCAAGCAAATGCTCATTCTATACTACCATCAAGTCCAATAATTCTAGTATTAGACAACTCATGTTACATTCAGTTTTATTACAGTTTTATCTTACTTTACCTCACATTGTTGGTTCTATGTCTTTTGTCTAAACTTCAACGAGTTCTGTTTGCAAGATAACGACGCCATTAGTGACAAGACCGCCATTTTAGGAATAGTTCTCCCACAGTTAACTTTTTACTTTCTCGTATATACAAAGTAGCCTATAGAGAAAGTCTTGTAATCGTGCAAAAAAAAAAAAAATCGAGATTTTTACAAATCTCGACGTTTTACACCTCACTGATACGGAAAAACATAATTTTGCAATCTTGTCCGTATGTCTGTGTGTGTGTGTGTGTGTCTGTGTGTAAACACGATACTTGAGTACCGTTACAGCTAGGTTGATGAAATTTCATATATAAGTATTTTATCAAAATCGTAGATCCGTATCAACTTTTGAGCGATTTCCGATAACCGGAAGTGGTACTTTTTCTACTTTGAATTTTTCAAAAGCCTATAACTTGAGTACTATTTAGGATAGATAAATGAAATTTCACATGTAAGTAAAAGATCTAAATCTCTACCTTCTGTCAATTTTTGAGTAATTTCCGTAGACCGGAAGTACTAATTTACGCTATTTCCGATTTCTCAAAAAATGCATGTAAATGTATGAAGTACTAATAATATTGCGCACTATTATGCACATTTTGTTTTGGCGTTCGCTTGGTGCGCAATTCTTTTTTTTCTATGAGATTCTATTCTATTTTTAAAAGTTTAAGTAATTAAAAATCATGTCTATATTCCAAGTTATATAAGAATATTCGAGAAAGTTTAGATCACTCCCGGTTTATTTATAAAGTGTTCAATTTATTTCAAATAATTATTTTTAATTTAAAAAGATTAAGTGTTTAAAATGGTTATGAATATAGTTTTGCTCGTATTTAACGATGCACTTTACTTTGATATCTGTTGGCAGCTGTGACATGCAGGTGTAGTGCCATCAGCAGAATCAATATAGCCTCACAAAGCACTATCTGCACTTAAGAGATGTTGCTAATGTTTTTATATCCAAGTTAAAGGAAAAATGAAAAAAAAAACAACAACAACATTAAACAGCTACTTATAGATCTACAAGCTTTTATTTAAATGATTTCTCATGCTTTTGTTTTTTTGTCGTACTTCGTCACTGGTTGAAATCTGCGAGCAAAATTTTAACCTCTTCTACCGGACCCATTTTTTTTTCAAGTTAGGTTCGTAGATCATGACCCGATGACAATGCTATGTGACATAAAACAAGACTTATTTAATTATTTAGTTAATTTTCTACAAATTTTTAATTTTCCCCAAAAAGTACACATTTTCTGCGCTATTATACGTTTGCTTTAATTTAGTGTGTGATTCCATTCTATCAACATATTTAAGGTAATAAAACATAAAGCGTGAGTGATCTCCCCTGGTATTTCTCGTTTATTTAAAAAAAAATTAAAGGGAATGACACATTCATTGCAATAGTGCTATAGCAACAAAAGTATGTTACAATATCTTGATAAAATCTATCGAAGAGAAAGTATGTTAAAATGTGATTTATGAGAATATGATAATACACATTAAAAATATGATATAAAATTATCAAATTCTAAAGATAATTGAGAAGTCGGGAATGGGTCGAAATAATCCCATAAAAACGTGCTGATTTCCGCTCTAAAATACATACTTTAAAAAGAAAAGAATCGCGTAAAAAAAAATAAAGCGGGAGTGATCTCACCTAAACTTTTCTAGAATATTCTTATTTTCGTTTAATGTAAGTGGTCGGCGTGGTCGAGTCGGTAAACCGAAAAGCCACGAGTTCGAACCCTCGGACAGCCGCTCTTCTAGGAGAGACAACTCCAAAATTAAACAACTGCTGCCTTGTAGGTTGTTCTTGGTTGGACAAAGGCTATGGAAGCAAATCCAAAAAGAAAAGCAGGCTGAAATCGGAGTCAATGGCCTCAATGGCGCATAACCAGTTGACACGTAAAGCTTAATTGTGTTGGAGGCGTGGTCGAGTCGGCAAAAAGCTCATGGTTGATAAATTCGAACAAAGTCTCGAGTTCAAACCCACTGGCAGATAAATCTCGATCCCCTTGAACACTAATAATTAAGAACGAAGAAGAAGAAGAAGACGTTTAATGTAAATCGCTCAAAAGTTTATATAAAACTTCACATTTGATATTAAACTTATATATGACATTTTTAACCTAATTGAAGCTGTACTCAAGTTATCGTGTTTACAGATAGACATACAGACACAATTGCAAATCTAAGATTTTCCGGATTAAGAAGGATGAAAAACGTGAACATTTGTCAAAATCTCTACTGAGAATTGTGGCACAACTACAATACATCCTTGATTTTCCTTATACGATATAATAAGTAGGTGTAAAATGGGGAGAATTGTCAAAATACATGTTAATTATTAAGCATAATTTCAATACTTCCTTTACAATCGGTTTACGAGCAGGTACAATATTAAAAACGTATTTTAATCAGCTTCTCAATCCCCAACAAGACCAATGTTTATATTATTGTTTGACAGATGCCCACTTGACTTCTCTTATGATACGCATTTTTTTTTCAACAGACAAACAGTAGAGTTTCACACGATAAAACATGGCGAATAATATGCCACAATGTATAATTGTAGCAACAGTACTAGTGGCTACTGCTTCTCAAACGAGTGTTCGTTGCACCCTAGGTGAGCGCCTAAATCAGGGGAAGTGTGTACCTTGTCAACCAAACACTTTCAATGAGCAAGATGCGCACCAGAATGTCGACTGCAGGCCATGCACACAAGCAAACAAAAACCAGCATGAAATCGTAAAAGAGAATTGCACTCGCACCAAAGACTCCGCCATAATATGCAAGCATGGCTACTTTAGAGAAGAGAGGAAAGACGGGTATGGCGAATGCATTAGGTGTACCTCTTGTGAAGCTATTAAACAGTTTGAAGTCCAGAAGTGTGAGGAATACAATGATACCACCTGCTGTCCACAGAAAAACATGAACTTCAAGAACGGTCAATGTATTTTGTACTGTGGCAAAGGAGAGTTCCTCAACGAAGCAAGCGAACAGTGCCAACCCTGCCCTAAAGGATCGTTCATGTCAGAGGCCCAGCATACCAACATCGCGTGTAGGCCATGCCGCGATCACTACTACTACCAGTTCGCCCATTTGACCAATCCTTGTAACAAGACCCACCCTGGGCAGTTCGAATGTAATCAGAATTATTATAAAGTGCCATTAAATGACGACGACTTTGAATGCTCTCCCTGTACGGTCTGTTTCAACCACTCTGACAAACCGTACCAGATAGAGCAGTGTGACCGGATGACGGACACTTTGTGCTGCCCACAACCTGATATGGATGCTCAAAAAACAAGATCTGGCTTTCAATGTCACTACCCAAGTAGGTTATTCTACATCAAAACGTATAGTCTAGTCTAGTAACAAGTTTGGCCAAATTTTTAAATATGTGTAAACGACCTGTATCCTTTGCAAAACTCCACTTCTAGTGAAGTCAGTATGATAGCTAACTACGTTATTATAAGTCGATATTAATTTGTTTTTTAAAGCAGGTGAACCGAAAACGAATGAGAGAGTTCCAGATGTAAAAGAGGACAGAAATTTCAAGACAGATCTCGGACAAAAGACAGTCCAAATTCAAGAGAAACCAGCGACAGGCTTCAGAGGCTCATCCTCGAACTGTGTCCACGGAGTAACAAAATTTCTGTGCTTACTATTTCTATTCTTAAATTATTATTTCTAAATTTTGCTTTAAAGTGAAAGCTATCTAAAGCTTTTGACAAGAAACAACTTACACCATTTTTAAAAGTCAGTTTACTGTTTCAGTTCCCATAAGACACAGCATTGTATATTATCCCCGCTGAAAAGAAAATAGTAGGATATCACACCTCTGTCGATTACTAATTAAAGCTAAAACTAATAGACATAGGGTTAGGGGTGGAAGAGAGATAGGGTTTAAGGATATTTTTAAAATTATAGATAGGGATAAGGTTAGGGATGAGAGAAAATTGAAATGGATAAGGTTAATGATATTGTTAGGGATATTGTTCAAGTTGAGGATAGAGATAGCTATATTTTAGGGTTAAGGATACAGCTATGGTTGTGAATAGTGATAAATAAATATGATAAATTTCGGGCTAGCTATACAATATGCATATAGGCATCAGAAAGAGTTAGGCCTAGCAATAGGGATAACGTTAGAGAGAAGGTTTGGGTTATGTGTAGGGTTATGTATATGGATACCGATATGATTTATATATATTTTCGTGGCGTGTTGTTTGTTATTTGTGAATTTTGTCTAGATGTAGTTGTTTTTTTGGCTTCCTTTCACTAAAGATTGGTTCCATTTCTGGTAAATAAACTTTCTAAATTGTTAGTTTTTTGTTTTTTTTATCCAGTCTAAGTTTGGATTTAACCACCGTGGTTTTTAACACGGTTGCACTGACCGGACAGTTAATTAGATAAGCCCAGGGACATAGTATAGTTATTCCCCCCTGACAGGCTTACATATATACTTATATATATATATATATATATATATATATATATATATATATATATATATATATATATATATATATATATATATATATATATATATATATATATATATATATATATATATATATATATATATATATATATATATATATATATATATATATATATATATATAACAAATATTATATGCGCGAGCAAAGCGTGCCTGCTTTATTGAATTATTTTTCTTCTCCTGCTGATTCACTTGTTTGCTTATATCATTGAATAAAGACTTTCTACGGACCCTAGGCACTTGGTCATGTAGCTATTGGTCGCCATAACACAGGTGCCAGCATTGACTTTGTCGTCTCTGCTCTCATCAGTAGTGCTGCTTGTAGTGTAGGCCGAGGTTAGGATCTTTGTGGCCTGAGTACATTATGGTGGGTATTCTGGTTAAATGGTTTGTCTATTCGTCGTAGTTTTATGGTTTATGGGCAGTAGGTCTATCTGTAAATTTTTATTCTATTGGGAGAAGGTCTAACTCATCTGTAAACTACTATGGTCTTTGGTTGTAGGTCTACCTGTAAAATATTATTGTCTTTTAGTAGTAAGTCTATTTGTAATACAATATGCTAATTTACAAAACTTTATATTTTATTTAAAATGCTATTATTGGCATTAAAAGTTATCATTATTTGCTCACAAGATCAAAGCTAACTAGTCGAGTTATATACAAGTCACATTTTTCTTCTTGTTAATTTGATAAGTTTTCAACGCTTTCTTACCTGTTTTTTTCCATTTTCCAATAATTTGGTCATAGCGCAAGTGTTCCGCTCTACCAGGTTGAGAACCATCAAATCTTCCATGTATTACACACACATAAACAGGGTGCGTGTTGTGGCACACATTACACACACGTCTAGATAGTCACAGGGCCTTTCCCGTGTTAGGGCCATTACACAATAGTTACAACAAAAAAATTCAATAAATCAATAGCAAACGTGAACATGGGGTTTTAAACTTTAAAAAATCGTTGAGCTATTTACTTGACTATCTCTATTGTAGATATGCAACGTCGGTTAGTAGAGGGTTAACGGTGATGTTATCATTACTTAAGGGAAAATGTATTTCTTTTCAGCCCGAACGCTTTATTCTTTGTGTTTCACACATGCGATGCATTTTGGTCGCATGAATATTAATTATTATCGAGATGATCAAATGTTTTTTTCAATCCTATTTAACTTGATTTTTTTGTTTGGATAATTCAAGCCGGTTTTAATTGACTTTTAGTGCGAGTGCGCATGCTCACTGCTCTTTTCCCAACGTACACACATTTGCGCCGTACTCCTTGTAGGAATGAGATGCCCCAGCTGTTTACGTCAAGTCACTGAAGCTTCATGTACTAGGTTAAAACTGTTTGACATTAAAGGCCAAAATTAAATTAGTATCTCTAACCTTGGTAGTGGGCGTGGGGGGGGGGGGGGGGGGGTGACTGGGGTAGAGTAGATTTCCAGGAAAAACCGTTCTAATGGACTGCTATTTACAAACAATAAATGCAAGCAACAAGCTTTAATTTCGTTTAACAAAAAACACTCAGCAAATCAATTAAACTATATACATCTTTAATTATAATTATTTTAAAAAAAAACATATTTATTTAGTGCTCAGCCAGATCCCAAATTAGACAAACTCCAGTACACTTATATGTGGTCTATATTTTAGGGACACATCTATAAAGAATTTTTTTTTTACAAAATACGTTTTAATAACATGTTTTTATTATACTGCACTAAAAAGGAGAAAGTAAATGATTATCTTTAAATGTATGACAATAAACTACTACTTCAATCACTAAAAAGAATTTGGTCGGTTAGGTGTGGTCAAAATTATGCCCGCAAGTATCGATCCACACAGACAGGGGAAACAAGTTACATAAAAGTTGGTAAGAAAATGACTTATCACACGTCAACCTTAAAAGTCCTTATTTTGCTGTGTCATTGTTATGTAGGCTGAAACTCCGTGTGGGTAGATTGGCCTAACGTACACTTAGCTTATGCATTGACTGGCAGTAGGCCTAACATATGACAATAGGTAAGCTATTTTAGTCTACACGATTGCATGTGTAGCCAATTGATCTGTTATATTGGCCTGTGGTATACACACGTAGTAGCTGTGATTTGACATATCTGTTGTCTTTATTCATATGTAGACACGAGAGTACGTACATTTCTGATGCAGTGGCCAGTGACACAATAATCTAAAATGTGCTACAACCTGTTTTAATATAATGTGTGATACTAATTTGATATTTGGTTCATTAACGAAAGACGAGCAAAGTTCTCTTGGAGGGAGACATTTGTGTGTTACTCCTCAATACATAAATTCTAATAAAATTATTTTGGATTTCAAAAGCTGCCGTGTAGCCTAATGTTAGTTGGCAGAGTTAATGGAAATAAATAGAGGTCATCTTTCTAAAATCGTGTTAAATAACACATATATAGACAAGTCGTAGACAAAAAGCCGCTGTGTGATGATAGTAGAGTGTACGAGATAACGCGAGACTTGCACTGTGGTGTAGCATAGCCATATTGTTGAATGGTGCTTCAGGTAATATTTGTCTGTTTATTTAGTCAAAATATTTTAAAAAGGAGATGTAAGCCAAATCGATGAAATTGAATCTTCTTGCTCTTTTTATTGGTTATTATCAAGAACAATGATGTGCTTACTTACAATGAAAGCGTTCAGTTAATAGGTCAACACCATTCCTGATATGTGCATGACGCCATTTATGACCTATCCCTAATTTAAATAAAACACACTGGAAACAAGATGATCAGTAGCAGTGTGGCAGAGCAAGTTAATTAATAAAATACGTAAGACAAAACTTCTTTGTTTTTAGAACTCTAGATTTAATCGATTCTACATTGTATTAGTATTTATATAACACCATCGCTGAAGGCGGAAGTGGCAGGCAAGAGACGGCTCTGGTTCTAAAATATCTGGGTGGTCGTTGTTGGCTGTATCTGTTTCTGTTGTAATACAGCAGGAGATTATAATAAATATTGTTATGGGCTAATAGGTACAAACTGAATTATACATATCGATTTACTACGTCGCCGACGTTTTTAATATAAATAAAAACATATAAATAAATAAATAAATAAATTAGTAAATAAAAAAAAAAAATATATATATATATATATATATATATATATATATATATATATATATATATATATATATATATATATATATATATATATATATATATATATATATATATATATATATATAGGTAAAACTACGTTTGCGCAAGTAATAGTAATATTAAAAAAGTACAATTGCTGGTGATAGTTATTTGACACCTCTATGAAAAGCCGGACAGTGTGCCTTACTTTAAACAAAGACTGCTGTGACAGGTATCTTCTTCAGAAGGAAGGCGGCAACAAGGCACACATTATCAGAAGGAAGGCGGCAACAAGGCACACATTATCAGAAGGAAGGCGGCAACAAGGCACACATTATCAGAAGGAAGGCGGCAACAAGGCACACATAATCAGAAGGAAGGCGGCAACAAGGCACACATTATCAGAAGGAAGGCGGCAGCAAGGCACACATTATCAGAAGGAAGGCGGCAACAAGGTACACATTTGATATTACTTTAAATGAATATTTCTGCAGAATTACCTTTCTATTTTACAGTGAGGTCACGCCAACTGTACGACAGGCTAAAACTATTTGACCATTCACTAGATCTTTCACCAAGACGTTGACACTGGACTTGTCCTTTGCTAACCTGCTACATGCTAAAAGTTGGTGCAATGTCTTACAACAGCCAGGCTTCCTACTCTCACGCATAGTGGTGAAACATATGTAACTCCATATGCATGATCCTTTAGACTGGGAAAAATGTATTTATGTCATTCTCCCCTCCCGCGGTAAGAAGGTTAACAAAATAAATATAACCAATTTCAAACAGAATCAACGTCAGCAATTTCAAACAGAATCAACGTCAGCAATTTCAAACAGAATCAACATTAGAAATTTCAAGCAGAATCAACATCAACAATTTCAAGCAGAATCAACATCAACAATTTCAAGCAGAATCAACATCAACGATTTTAAGCAGAATCAACATCAGCAATTTCAAGCCGTCGTGTTTCGCTGTGTTCCCTTATCATGCTATTGGTAAGTCTTTTTTTGAAACTTGAGATGAGAAAGAAGGATTGAGGAACATAAATTTACTGTAATTTTTAAAGGTGCAACTGTATTTATTTGTCCGTTCATATACTTTAAGTCCGATAGGCAACCGACAGCGCATACATAATTATGCAACAAATATATATTAATTAAACGCAAAAATTCACATAAAATGTAAAAAACCTCTAACATTCTTTGCTAACTCAGCTAAGGTTTATCGTTGTAATGTCCCCTTTTTTACTTTCTCGTATATACGTAGTATAGAGAAAGTATTGTAATCGTGCAAAAAAAAATCGAGATTTTTACAAATCTCGACGTTTTACACCTCACTGATACGGAAAAACATAATTTTGCAATCTTGTCCGTATGTCTGTGTGTGTGTGTGTGTGTGTGTGTGTGTCTGTCTGTGTGTCCGTGTGTAAACACGATAACTTGAGTACCGTTACTGCTAGGTTGATGAAATTTCATATATAAGTATTTTATCAAAATCGTAGATCCGTATCAACTTTTGAGCGATTTCCGATAACCGAAAGTGGTACTTTTTCTACTTTGAATTTTTCAAAAGCCTATAACTTGAGTACTATTTCAGATAGATAAATGAAATTTCACATGTAAGTAAAAGATCTAATTCTCTACCTTCTGTTAAATTTTGAGTAATTTCCGTTGACCGGAAGTAGTAATTTACGCTACTTCCGATTTCTCAAAAAACTAATGTAAATTTTAAAAGTACTAATAATATTGCGCACTATTATGCGCTTTTTTATTTCGCGTTCACTTGGTGTGCAATTAATTTGTCTAAGAGATTTTATTCTATTTTTAAAACTTTAAGTATTAAATATGGATTAAAAATCATGTCTATAGCCCGAGTTCCCATCCCCTGTTATCTATCTTATACTACTAAAAGTCAAGTTTGTTTACATGTTTGAATATTTATTTTTTTGTTTGTTTTTTTGTTTGTTTGTTTGTTTGCCTGATCGACTATTGTGATATGTTCGACTCAATCTGGATAGCTGTAAAATAGTATGCAGGTAGAAAATAATTTTTTAATGCAGACAGACTGTTAATCACACATTTATTTAAAGACGTTAATTAATTTATTGATTTATTCATACGCAGAGTAACCCATTTTTTAAAAAAAGTTTAAAACGACCACTACACTCGGCGGGACCGTGACGTCACAGGTTTTTGTTTACTCTTTAGTACAATAAAATGGCGGCGTCTATCGAAGAAAATTGTGTTCCCATTCAAAAGTTTAACGCGTTCTAAATCTAATTTTCTGTCGGTCATAACTTAAACAATACGTCCGTTTGCTGTATTTATTACGTTCCAACACTTATATCAATTTTAAACTGTCTTTTTTCATTTAGTTTTACAATAAATTTCTCTAGATCTAAAGATCAGCTGTCGAAGGAAAGTTATGAATCTAGCCTAGATCTAGATCTAGCCTAGATCTAGGTCACTAGACTCAATGTAAATTCTAGATCTAGACTTAATGTAAATTCTACATCTAGAATCTATTTCAGGCCTTAACACATCTAGAATCTATTTCAGGCCTTAATTATTTTATATAAATCTTTGTTTGGCTAATTTAAGATAAAATTTAATTTGAAAGTTACTAGATTCTACTACTAGACTTAGATCTAGATCTATGCGTGGAGACTCAAATTCAAAAGTATAGTATAAAAATTCATTTGTGACGTCACGAGTAAATAGCTAAGTTGATAGCGTAGTCCGCTCTCATGTGGGTGGCACAGGTTCTAGACCAATATGTCAATGATCTTTTTTTTTCAATTTTTTTTTTTTAGATGTGAATGATAAAGTTGCCTATCTGAACTTGGCAGGATACAGGGCAGGTGAAGTAGAGTTCATCTGTTTCTTTGTCCTAAGCATATGAAAGGATAGTGTGGTCAGAGACATGCTCGGCTGGCATCGTTTTTTAAACGATAAAAAAATGTTGTCTGAGACTTGGCGATTGGAAACCACCAGGTCGACCACCATTATTTCCACTAGGACCACCATCAATATTGGAGCTTGGAATGTCCGCACGATGTTCGAAGCTGGAAAAGCAACCCAAGTAGCAGCAGAAATGAGACGCTATAAAATAGCTATCCTGGGTGTCAGCGAATCAAGGTGGACTGGCTCAGGACAAAAAAGGCTGATATCAGGAGAGCTACTGCTGTACTCAGGTCATGAGGATGAAAATGCACCACATACTCAAGGAGTTGCACTCATGCTATCAAATCAAGCACAAAGGGCTCTCATCGGATGGGAGGCACACTGCCCGCGGATCATAACAGCTACCTTTAAAACTAAAATAAGACGAATAAACATGGACATAATACAGGCCTACGCCCCAACAAATGACAGCAAAGAGGAGGACAAAGACGAATTCTACAACAGGCTAATGACCATTATCCAGAACCGCCCAAGAAGAAACATCCTTATACTCATGGGCGACTTCAATGCTAAGATTGGAAGCGACAACAGAGGATATGAAGAATGTATGGGACAGCAGGGTTTAGGTGAGATGAACGAAAACGGAGAAAGATTTGCTGACTTGTGTGCCACAAATAATTTAGTCATTGGCGGTAGTCTCTTTCATCATAAAAGGATACATAAAGCTACTTGGGTATCACCCGACCTATCTACAGAAAACCAGATAGACCATATATGTATCATAAAAAAGTTCAGGAGATCACTTCAGGATGTACGCGTCAAGAGAGGAGCTGATGTTGCTTCAGACCATCACCTACTGGTAGCTAAAGTAAAACTCAAGCTGAAGAAAAACATGTTGGAAAACAAAAGGAAATACAGGTACAACACAGGCCTGCTAAAGGACCCATCTAAACTCAACGAATTTAAACTTCATATGTCCAATAGGTTCCAGGTACTACAAGAACTAATAGAAGAAGAGACGATAGAGGAAACATGGGAAAAAACTAAAAGTATATTAACATCAACATGCGAAGAAGTGCTAGGCCCTATCAAAAGACAAGCGAAGGAATGGATATCAGCAGATACCATGAAAATTATTGAAGAGAGAAAAAGAAAGAAGGCAACATTAAACAACAGCCGCACACGGGCTACGAAATTAAAAGAACTGGAAGAATACACCGAAACGAACAAAAATGTAAAGAAACACATAAGGAAAGACAAACGGAGCTATTTGGAACTGCTGGCAAGAGAAGCGGAAGAAGCACTGTACCATGGTAATATTAGGGACGTGTACAATACAATTAAGAAGATATCTGGTAAGTACAGTAAGCCAGAGAGGCCAGTGAAAACCAAAGATGGAAAGACAATACCTGATGCGGAAGGACAGATGAAGAGATGGGTAGAACATTTTGAAGAACTACTGAATAGACCAACACCAGAGTGCACGCAAGACATACCACCAGCTGAAAGTGACCTCCCTATAGACTGCAACCCACCTTCAAAAGAAGAGATACATAGAGCTATAAAGCAGCTGAAAAATTGGAAGGCTCCAGGAATAGATGGTATACCGGCAGAAGCACTGACAGCAGATATAGAAACTAGCACCACACTACTATACACACTCTTCAAGAAAATCTGGGAAGATGAACAAATACCAGAGGAGTGGAAGGAGGGACTACTCATAAAGCTTCCAAAGAAAGGCGATCTTAGTGCATGCTCTAACTATAGAGGGATAACACTTTTGTCCATCCCAGGCAAAGTCTTCAACAGAATATTATTAAACAGAATGAAGGAAGCCATAGATCCCCAGCTTCGAGATCAACAGGCGGGCTTTAGGAAGGAAAGGTCATGCATAGACCAAATTGCTACCCTGCGCATCATCATTGAACAGACCCAAGAGTGGAACTCATCTCTCTATATTAATTTCATAGACTATGAGAAGGCCTTTGATAGCCTGGATAGGCAGTCAATGTGGAAATTGTTGAGACACTACGGGGTGCCACAGAAAATAGTCAACATTATTATGTCTTCATATGAAGGTCTCAAATGTAGAGTAGTGCATGGCCAACAGACTACAGAGGCCTTCCCAGTACGGACCGGAGTAAGGCAGGGTTGCCTACTTTCACCATTCCTGTTCCTACTGGCCATAGACTGGGTTATGAAGATGTCAACAGAGAAAACGCGAAACGGTATACAGTGGACATTGTGGAGCCAGCTGGATGACCTGGACTTTGCTGACGACCTGGCCCTCCTTTCTCACACACAACAGCAAATGCAGGATAAAACCAACAGGGTTGCAAATTTTTCTACAAGCCTGGGTCTGAACATCCACAGAGGGAAAAGTAAAGTTCTCAAAGTCAATGCATCAAACAACAACCCTATAACACTGGCAGAAGAAGCCCTAGAAGAAGTGGATAGATTCACCTACCTTGGAAGTATTGTTGATAAGCAGGGTGGGACAGAAGCAGACATAAAAATAAGGACGGGTAAGGCAAGAGCAGTCTTCAACCAACTAAAAAATGTTTGGGGTTCGGGAGATTTAACCCTTAGAATAAAAATCCGGATCTTCAACACACTAGTAAAACCTGTTTTACTCTATGGAGCTGAGACATGGAGAATAACTGCTATAAATAAGAAGAAAATACAATCATTTATAAACGCATGTCTCAGAAAGATCCTGCGAATTCGCTGGCCTAAAACCATCAGAAATGATGTTCTATGGCAACGGACAAATCAACTGCCAGTGGAAGTAGAGATCCTCCAGAGAAAATGGAAATGGATTGGCCACACACTCAGGA